TTAACGACCGGTTGTCTGATGAACTGATTGCACGAGATTATCAAACTATCTTATCAATCGAAATCACAATAGATGATCATGGTGGGGTTTCAGGAGTGGCGCTCAACCTAGTTTGAAATAATTGGAACGAGTAGAAGAACCGTCTCGTACTTAGCTAAAGGCACCAAACGGAAGTGGGGGGTGGTAGTTTTTTTAGTGGTGATCCTTGCACCCGGGTTGCACCGAGAGATTTTAGATACTTCATGTTGAGAAACAGGGATGGAAAGAATCAAGCTCTCTTGGTGCTAATCAAGCTCTCTTGGTACTCTTGGTATACATAGGCGAGTCACTATGTGTTCTGGGATATGAAGTCTCCCCAGAAATTAAGACATTCTGGGCAACATATACCGGTACCGGTACCTACCTACCTAACTACCTATAACAGCTACGATGTCCATGAAATCGCGCATAGATTAGATACCAGCAGGATCCACCCGGCTTTCGGCATTGGATGGCCCAGGGTCTTTAGATCAGTTAACTGTACCAAAACGGCTGGGTGTCATCTGATAACACCACAATTATCTGCTGATTGTTTGAGATAACTAGCACCGACCTGCACTACGATTGGATCATGCAAGCGAGACTGCTCAAGGGGCGTTCTTTTTTGGCTCCACCCCTCCCTGCATTTTTCTTTTTCGGTTCAAGGCCTGATCTTCGATAACCATAGACCAACGACCATCGAGCCATCAGATAATCCGCGCGGAACGCTGCCCGTTACACACTGGCCACGGGGGGTAGGGGAACTCTAGTAATGTGAAACACCTGGATTCTCTGGTTCGTTAGCTAAATCGCATGGGTTCCGAGTTTTTTTTTTTTTTTTTTTTCGCTCTCTTTCTGCTGGATGTGGGTACGCTGGGCTGGTACCAGCTAGTGATTTACAAGGCGAGTCTCCATGATGCTGGGGGCTAACAAATTTACTTCCACGGGTATGTGGCTATATGTTGGTATGTACGCTGCCCGTTCTGCTTTTCACAATTGCTTTTCACAAAGCATAATAATCGAGGTGGGTAGCATCATCACACGAGCAGCTTCTTGACTGCCAAGTGCCTCGTTGGCAACCCTATATTATATCCAACGACGGGAACTCCGGATATTACTTTTTCACCTAGGTAGCTCAGCTGGGCCATCTATGTAATCCTCCGTGCTATCGTAGCTTTAATCCCCCATATCATTGCAAGCTAACTCTCCTCTCCCCCGAGAGTAACTGTCCTGCCAAAATGTTATTTCCACTCCTCCTCCCTGTATTAGCATTTCTCCCCTGCATATTCTCGAAAACCGTCACCTACGACTTCAACATAACCTGGACCACCGCGAACCCCGATGGCAAATTTGAGCGCAAAGTCATCGGCATCAATGGAAAATGGCCAATTCCTACCATTGAGGTCGACAAAGGCGACCGGGTGATTGTGAATATGTACAATGGCTTGGGAGACCAGAAAACAAGTCTGCATTGGCACGGTCTCTTCATGAATGAGACGAATTACATGGATGGACCCGTGGGAGTGACCCAATGCGCAGTTGCTCCAGGACAGAGCATCGTATATGATTTCGTTGTAGGTATTCACCTGCTCAATCTTTTTCTTTTGAATAAATGCTTCATGATACTGATGAAAGCACGAACCTCAGGTTGACCAGCCAGGCACATACTGGTACCACTCGCATCTGAAGGGCCAATACCCCGACGGCCTACGGGGCGCCTTCATCGTCAACGACCCCGACGACCCACACAAGGACCTCTATGACTCCGAGATCGTACTGACCTTCTCCGACTGGTACCACCAGCAGATGCCTTCGCTCATTAAGCGCTTCCTCTCAGTTGCTAACCCCACTGGCGCCGAACCCGTCCCGCAGTCCGCCCTGATCAACGAAACACAGAACCTAACCGTCTCTGTCGTGCCCGGCAAGACTTACCTCTTCCGCCTGATCAATATTGGCGCCTTTGCGGCGCACTATGTGTGGTTTGAGGGCCACACGATGCAGGTTGTGGAGGTTGACGGCGTCTACACGAAGCCGATGGATGCGCAGATGCTGTACTTGACGGCGGCGCAGAGGGTTGCGGTGTTAGTGACCATGGGGAACGACACAAGCAGCAATTTCCCGTTTATGGGAAGTATGGACGAGGTATGTGTGCTGCATTACCTACTAAAATATCGTTTCCAAGTGCTGGTTGCCGGTAGCTGACGAAAGTTTGCCGGGTAGGATCTGTTTGACCAGGTTCCCGAGGGGCTGCAGTCGAATGTGACGGGGTGGTTGGTCTACGATGCGAAGAATGAGAACCCGCCCGCGGAGGAGATTGCGGAGTTTGATCCGTTTGATGATTTTTTGCTGGAGCCGGTGGATGAGGAGCCATTGTTGGAGAATCCGGCGACTTCCATTACGTTGGATGTCGTTATGGATAATCTTGGAGATGGAGCAAACTAGTAAGTCTTTTGACAGCTCCATTTATATCTCCGGCCTCTTAACCTAGAAATTAGTGCTTTCTTCTCGGGAATCACCTACGTTGCCCCAAAGGTTCCAACTTTGTACACCGTCCTATCTTCCGGAAATCTCAGCACGAACCCAGTGATATATGGTTATAACACAAACTCGCATGTCCTTGGGCACAACGACGTGATAGAGATTGTAATCAACAATCTCGACCCAGGGAAACATCCCTTCCATCTCCGTAATTCCCCCTCTATCCCCACTTACCCAGTCTAGTACATAATACTAACAACCCCCGCAAAGACGGCCACAACTTCCAGGTAATCTACCGCAGCCCCGACGACGCCGGCGCCTACGACCCCACCGCTACCCACGACAACCCCGCCATCCCCATGCGCCGCGACGTAGTCCTCGTCAACCCCAATGGCAATCTCGTCCTGCGCTTCCGCGCCGACAACCCGGGCGTCTGGTTCTTCCACTGCCACCTCGAATGGCACATCGTCTCCGGTCTCGCCACAACATTTGTCGAAGCGCCGCTGCAGCTGCAGTCGCAGGTGGTGCCGCAGGACCACCTCGATAGCTGCACGGCGCAGGGGCTGCCGACGGAGGGAAATGCGGCGGGGAATAAGGTTGACTTTTTGGACCTCAGTGGGGAGAATAGGAGTCCTAAGCCGTTACCGGCGGGCTTTGAGGCGAGAGGCATTGTGGCGTTGGTGTTTAGTTGTGTAGCGGCGGTGGGCGGGATGATGGTCGTGGTGTGGTATGGGATGGCGGATGTGCCGAAGTAGTGGGCTAGTCGGCTGGACTTGGGCCGTGATGTAGTTTCTCTTTTTTTATTTTGTTTTGTTGCGGATGATGAGACGATGAGATGATTAGATGAGGGCGCCGGGCTGGAATGATATGCGTTTGCTCCCTGTAAATATTTCCCGAGATCCCAAGAGTAGACACTCTACACGCTAGTGCCGCCCCTGAATGAAGCTCCCACCGATGAATGACGAACCCTTCAGCTGAAGTCATGATGAAGTTTGAGTAGCTAGACCGCAATGCATACAGCGCTAACCACCACAGCCAACCTATCACCGGAATCACACATTATCACTCGCCAAAGAACTCCGAGACGTATTCTCGCCCCCTGTCCATTTAGATCCAAGAAACATCCCAACGCGTGCAAACGCGCCTACAACCCGCAACTATCAGCTCATGAAAAACTACACCGCGTATGTTAGCCACGGTAGAGTAATGCCCCGTACAAGGGGCAAGGCCATAAAAAGGGGAAATCTAGGTCCAGTTATAAGCTTCCTTCTTCTCAAAGATCTCGACTGAGCCTAGACTCAAATCTCCTACTTCCTAGATCTTCTGTCCACCAATAATGCAAGCAAGAAATCAACAGCACCACTAGCGGCCAGATCGCTACATGCACTTCTCCACCCAAACCTTAACCTAAACCAGCTATGGTCGCATGGGAATTGGTTCTCGCGGCTGGGTCCACTGATCTTCACGGCATAGATCAATTCGTATAGAAGCAGAAGAGATGCAACCACTTATTAACGGTTGATGCCGCGATGGTCCAGGTCATAGTCTATCACTCGGATGTTGTAGGTCTTTGTGGTATTGACTACATGTGCTCTAGAAGCAGTGTCGCTAAGTAAGATATCTACGACCAACGAGGTGGTTGTGAGATTAAGCTGTGTCCAAAGCAAGTATTGTATCAGTTAATAGTCTGAAAAGCCAAAGATTACGCAAGATGTGCCTCAACTTGATTGAATCGTAAACTTGAATTTTACAGAAAACCTTTTGCTGACGCATACATACAAGATAACATCAAATTCGATCCAACCTTATGTAGTTTATATGGATCCAGGCGTAGTCCCAGTTGTAGTTCTAGGAATCTTGACTCTTACCTCGTCGTATCTTCTAGAGGCAAACTCGCAGCCCGCTTTCTTTTATGTTTCCGTGTTTTTTCAAACTTTTCTTTGGAACCCGAGAAATGGACCACAGCGCTACTCTCAGTTACAGCACGTACAAGATCGATCTGACCAGACTCCAAGGCTCCAGCAGACACAACGTCCGTCTGATTGCTTTCCGGGGTTTCATCAGTTGCACGATCTAGATGTCTAAGATCAAACCAACTGACTTGCAAGATTGCGCCAGTTTCATGAGATCCAGAACTCTCTGGGGGATAAAAACGGTCTCGGGTAGGAGAAAGTGTTCGCGTTTGTAAACGAGGACCCATAGCCTTCCGAACTTTCCGCGCACGCTCCTCCTTCCCTCCCCCCAATTGTTCCCCTTGACTACGTACACCATCAAAAATCAGTCAGCGAACGGATACAACACCTCCTCTCCTTTTGGGTCGGATTCAACCTACTCTATCTGCGCCCGTGTATCCGGCTCCGTCCACGTAAAACGATAAGCCCACTTATCTTCCCCAATTTCACGCTCCATCCTCTCTCTCATCAATTGATCCCGTTGACTACTCCACCACCAGTCAGCCAACGGAACGAATACGACACCACCTCCCCTCGCGGACCAGACCCAACCTACTTCTGCACCTGTAAATCCTGCAACAACCTACCCGACTCTGGCTGCGGTTCAGGCTGCGGCTGCACCGTTACCAGCGGCTGCCATTTAGCCCCCTGCCCGTCAAGGCCAGTCCATTCTTCAGGCACTACCACATCCCCACCGCTTCCCTGGCTATCATTGCTGCTCTCATTGTAGTGTCTGGGCCGGTCAAATAGGTGGGTGAAGTGGAACCCGCAGAGCGCGGACCAGCAGTCGCTTGCGTCCTCGCGCACTCCCTGGTAGATCTCGGACAGCCTTCCCATAGTTGGTATAATAATATAATATGGTACAGATATATATATGTGTGGGTTGAGAGGACTCGGCGGGCAGATGGGGAGATGATTTATAGCTGGTAATTGACGGCGGTATCGACATATATAGATGGTCTTTAAAACGTAGATCTAGCGACGGTTGCGGTATTGAAAAGACGTAGTTGACTCGGTGTGAGATATGGCCAGACTTTCTGTGCGAAGAGCCAGGCCTCCCGTGGGTCGATGGTGCGCGGGTTGGCGAGATGACGCTACATAATATGTAATTCTGGCCACATACCCGTGGGAGACTATGTAGTCAGTAAAAGTTGAGACCGCCATAGGCGGGCCAGGTCTCAATCGAAGGTGTGGGGAAGCCCATCTCTTGTGCTTAACATCGAATCATCAATTAAAGCGTTAAATATAGAATCACGGACGATCACTCGTATTTATAACCCAGCCAGGTGTTGGAATTGTGTTCCGAGCCCAGGAGCAAAGTCCTAGTACTTATATGAGTATTAGTATATATGTCAATATGTAGTCATATATGGACTGTTCTAGGCACAATATTGTTCTATAAATATAGGCTTGAAATGCCCCCTGTATTATAGTTATGCAAGTCAATTGAGAAAGTCACAGTCTTCCGCATTTATTATTATTTATTATTCTTCACTACTATTTATTTTTCAACACCAGGCCTTGGTATCGTCTCAACAGCCAATTCCACATCAACTTGGCCCAAGATCTGGGGATCCGGATAGGCCAAGAATATTCAAGAAGAAACACCCACCCAACGGCCCCTTCGTCACGATTATCTTTGCTAGTGCAGGACGGACAATAAGGTACTCCTATATTGACTGTTAGCCATGCGCCAGGGCCCAGGACATGTGAAAACACTACTAAAACGACCTAATCATCTAGATCTCCCTAAAATCTACCCCCCAGATGGTCTTGTCGCGTGTTGGATCTCCCGGGACAAAATCCCATCCCGTATGCATTATTCAAAGTGGAATTTAGGGTGCCACTTAAGCTTACCTACGCAGCTCTGAGACAGCAAGGACATTTTGGGGGGGATATGCACTTAGCTCATTGAAAGCGGTACACTGATACCTTCAGCGACAATTGTCAAAAGTAAGCTTTGTATGCGTCGCGTCATGGAATTTGAAGCGGCATTTGCGTAACTTCATCAATAGAGGCAGTCATATTCCACAGAGCCCGAGTGATAGCCCATGATTGCTCCACTCAAGTTCACACCTATTCGACATGCGCCAAAGACAAGACTTTCACGATATGCGGGTTGCGTCACCAACCTCAATTATAAGACACAGACGGGTTTATACATATGGATGTACACACAAGACAGATCTCGCTCAGAAGGCGCGCACTGCAGCTTCCCGAATCCCGATACCGCTGGTAGCATAGGCTGCATGAACATACACTACGGCTCGGTTTTTGTTCCCGTTTAATTTGAACTTCTTAGGTTTGGGTTTTTAAAACTGTTCTATGGGGAGTATATAAGTTCAACATCAGCTGACTGTGGCGTAGAAATAACCTCCAACCAACCCTTGTGTAATAAGGGGAGGAGACCAGGAAGGCTTAACGTTGGGATTGAGAGAAAGACAAATTCTAACATGAGCGCCAACGATCGGCATTCTATTCCGCCGAGGGCTCGTTAGAGTGGCTCTGTTATATTGCTCCTGAACACACGTTTGGTGGAACTTGTTCTCTTGTCAAACGTCGGCTGTACAGCTGCATCTCAACCAACAGAATCCAACCTCTTCAGTTTTCAGCAAAGCTTGTGCTTATCTGCTCCCTTTTTATTGTGAACTCATTAATTTTCATCTACTCCCTAACCATGGGACGAACACCGCCGCTCTCTGTATCTAGACCAGGCCATACAGCTCTAAAAGATAATTTAGGCCTTATTTCTTATATTCTTACACCCTTTCTTTGAAAACCCCTTTGAGAATGAAAGAATAAGCATAAGTGTAAGTGTTAATGCATTTGGTCTCGGGATGTCCGAGTGAGACTACTTCATAAACTTCCGGTATTGGATTTATGGCCATTGCTCATTAATGGCATATCCAAGGGATAAAAGTTCGCCCACTAAGATACAAACAAAATGCAGAGTTAAAGATGAGAACTGAGCGACTAAGCTGAAGATATGTCGCGAGATCATATGCAGTTTGCTTCAAATATGGATCCCTCCTGAAACCAGCTACGAATACAATTAGTGTAATTTTGGCTCCGTTAACCATTTTAGTGTGTAAATAGAGGATAATAGTACAATTGCCGGAGCCAGAGTCTTCAAGTCTTGGATAAAAATGTTTTCTTATTCAAGCTTAGAGACTCCAAGCTCCAAATTAAGTCGAGAGACATTTCTGAGCCTTGTTGCTTGTTGGGGAGGTTATAATCAAAGTCATGAAGTTTGAGTTAACGAGGGGGAAAACTCTTATCGTGGACGGGGAGTCAGTGGTAAGTACCAAGACTCGAAAGAAACTGAGATTTAGAAATTCAAATTTAAACCCAAACTCATTCAATCGTTGCTCCATATAATTTTTAGCCGTCAACACATCTTCCATCTCAACTTTCGTAGCCATTCGTTACCTTTGAAGCACTGCCTCAAAGTAAGGCGCTGCATAGAATACAAACCCAAAGCACATATCATTCGATAGTTTAATGGTTCAATCCTTGGGTTGCATAAACAAATTGTAAGCCTACAGAAAGTGGTGTCTAGCCTTGGTCGAATGGAGAATTCGCTTCACTCGTCCCGTAACTCGCTCCAACTTAGCACACATCATTCCATCTTTGTAGTTAGTCTTGCATAAGGGGGCGTCTGGAATATAAATCGATAATTACGTCTACCGATAAATGGAAATTATGGTTTTTTTCTCACTGCCCCGAGTGTCGCAAGGGGTTGTGGGAGAGTATATCCATAACTTTGAGAACATTGGAGTAAGATATGTCTAGTATACTCTGGCACTATTCTCCCGAGAGTTTTTTTTTCACGTTAGGAACCAATCCAGAGTCCCAAACCCAGGCTTTCGATATTCTTGAGAGTAACTATAACCTAGTACGGAAACTAAAGCCCATCTCTTTTGGAAAGAAAGTTTAAACTCATGGACCGGGAACTGACTGACTGGCAAGTTCCTGAACTTCCCACGTTTCCTCCCCTCCCTTTCTTTGGAAAGCCCCAGCCGATTTTCGACTATCAAAACACCCTGACATCTGGAATCGTATAGCCCCCTTCTGTAATATCACCCATCCCGATATTTCAGAAACGAAAGGAAGGAATGGGGCCAAAACAACGAAAGTTAAATCAGATCATTAACTGAAATGAAACACAAAGATAAGCAATCGCAATGTATTGCGTATCTTACATTTTTCTCCTTTCTTCGCTTTCACGGCGTCAAGTCTGTGCGAAATATAAAAATAGCGGAGCGGGACTGGCCGAGGGGAACATATTGTATCACTTAAACAGTGCACACGGTATGATAGTACACTCCCTTGGGGGCCATCACGTCTACATGCATATGAGCCGTGTTGCATGATATATCAATCTGCAATTTAGGGGATTAGTAAATCCTAATAAAATACGGAGGATTACAGCGAAGAAGGATATATTGTATGTAGAAGTAGCCGAGGAAACCAACCTACTAAGGTTGAAACCGCAAACCTGGTCTGGTACCCTTGTTCCGTGCATGCCATGTTTCGTATTACTATACTAGGCACTCCCTTGCTCGTGGATCATAACGTCCGGATATTATCTTTCGTGTAGAGTTTCGCTATTTTAACCGAGCTGTTACCTGGACTGCACTGAGATCTATGTCTAAACTCACGCAATTTGCATTCGCTCTTCTGAAACAGATGGGCCAAGCACTGCCACAAGCGAAGCTTGTTTGAAAGTAGAGTAACACTGACTGTTGCGGATCCTATGCTATAAACAAAGATTCTCGAAGGAGCAAAGAACCTTTCTGCGGGCAGAGTTAGCTATAGTACTAGAGTGTTAACATACTGCTGCAATGGCATTAACTTTTATTTCCAAATGGGAACATCAAGCCCAATTCAGAGATAACTAGTTAGTTGCTAGTGCCTAAAACGGAAGCGCTACCACCCCCCGACAGAAACAGCGGCGGCCCTTCCCGCAACCACCATCATTCCCCGCAAACCCCACGGTATAATTCACATCTCCATGAGAAAGACTTAAATTGAGGTTTGGAGGGGAGAAAGTGGAGTATCAGGCAGGAAAAAAAAGGCGCATCGTGAACGGTGCGCTGTTTCTTCCGTGAAAATAAACATCCATTCGTCCACCAAATAGGGATTACCATGAATAGCTACCAGAATCAGCTTTGAAAACATGCAAACGACAGGTGAAGAACGGCAAAGACGTGAAATGAAGTAACCTGATCATGGCATGACGGACCAATTAACGGGTAAAGCCTTCGTTGCACCTGCGTTCAAGTCGAGTCATCGAGTGTGAATGGGTGAGATTTCACATATGATCCCAGTGGACGAAAGAATTGAAAAGATTATCATAGAATATCTCGAGTTTGAACCTCGGATATATGTTTGTGAGGGGTGGGGGGGGTGGGTGTTGAGGGAAAGAGGAACGTCGAGGGGGGTTTAGACTAGTATCTAGTTCGAAATTGAAGAACCTCTTGCTGACGTTGACTCAGCAACGTCATCAACATCACATCAAAGTTACATCTGAATATTCTACCATACCTTGATGATGGTTTTCTTGATAAGTTAGATATATTCAGCGCTAATTGACGCACCCAATCTTAGAGTACAAGAGGATATACTGGAATCCGGATGCGTCTTGCTACTGAGATAATTTTACAAGGGAAGAAAAAAAAAAAAAAATGGCCAATCAAGATTCCGTGGAGTAATTGAGATCTAGACTGTGGGGTGTGCTCTGCGAGGCGTGTGGAGGATAATTGCATCAGGTTATCAAGTGGGACAGAGAAATAAAAGACTGCATTTCGACCAGTTATCCGGAATCAGAATATGGGTAAATCTCATGCAGTTGCAATCGACCTGCACGAGTGATCACTGATGACTTCGCCTTTTCGTCTTGACTGACTGTTGACAGAGCCACTATATTTCATAGCGAGGATAATTACCCGATGTCAGATAACTTTATATCTGTGTACCTAACTTGGGCGTTCTCCTCCCAGAGCTTGTATGGCGTCAATCTGCACTATCCATGGAAACCCAGGATCACCGCTGGAATTCTCCCGTTCCAGCATCCCCAAACGGATCACGATACCTTACGGGAGAATATTCATTGCGGCAACGGCGCTGATGGAAGACAATAAAGAGATGAGAAATACATACCCGATATGTACGTTCCCCTTCTGGCAATTAGGCCCGCCGCGACCGCTTGAAGTTTGTGAACCAGTATCGGAAAATCTGTTATTCCGATGGTACGGAAACGGGGCCCGTACTACCGAGCTGGGAGGATCAATTGGATTGTATCACGAGTCTCTTTGTCTTTTCGGGCAGAGTATGAGTTCGTTTCTTTTATGTCAGCTGGGGGTTTTTTTTTAAAGATGATTTCACTTCTTTCCTCAGGGATATGTGCCTATCACCCTTGGTGGTCCTGAACAATTTGGTCGTCTCTGATAGATACGGACCGATAGTCCGTGCGTTCTGACATCTGTGGGGATCTGCATGCGGCTATTCCGACAAGTTGGGTGCAGCACTTGCCAAGAAAGTAGCCAAGATCCTGGATGAGGCACAGTAATACGTTGTTCATTATTCCTTGACGAAAACCTCCATGCAAGGATCTATCGCAGACTTCACGATGCTTATATTAAACATACTTAATGATACAAGCAAGCAAATTTATTGACTGGATCGAAAACGTACTAGTAGGAATATATTATACCAAGAGTTACAAGGCCCATCCGTAATCCATAATTGAATAGGTCACTCCGTGCGTCTATGGGGCTGTGCCTCTCACCGGTGGGGGTAATCTTCTAGCACTGTATTGTATGTACCGGTCCGGTGTCTACGCTTAACTTTACTTCTAGCGCCATGATACGCTTATAATTATATTTCATACAAAGCAGTTGTTTTTGATGGCAATGTAGGAAAAAAGACATGAAACCTAGAAGTTCCGTATACGGGATCTACGCTCGGACCCAGGCGTATTAATTGGACAGGCATAAGAAAATACGTTCTCGGATCCTGCAATCAATCGATAAGTTTTTCTAATCAGCAACAAAATTATCACACAGTTGCATTCATTATAGTACTTTGGATATATATTGGTTAGCCAAGGTACGTGAAAGACAAGTACTACGTCCGTGTCTTAACCTGCATCTTTTATCCAGTGAGCTTATTCAATCCAACAAGGGCCCTGAGGGAGGCACAGCGTAACGAATATGCACCCCCCGGCTGCCAAACAAGAAACTGGTCTGAGAAGTCATGATAAACAACTGATTGATGAGAAAGAGTCATGCTGCGCTAATGGGACCGGGAAAAGGGGACATTAATATGAATGCGTGAGAATTCCAGAACAGGAAATATTCTCTTCAATGAAAAACGTGAATTTGGTACTACAAGATCGTACGACATGGTTCCATAGATCCTTACGCACATACCGGGTGTGAATAGGAAGAAAAATCTATGGGTAGTGAGGTGTACAGGCGTGGCTCATGCGGGTCTTGCGAGGACGGGGATGGTTTGGCCTATAATATACCAACAACGACGTCCCCTCCTGTGTACTTCCTTCACAAGTCATCAACCCCCTGATTCCCAAAGTACATTTTAAAGCCCTTCATCAAGGTGATCACTACAGTCATCATCATACGCATTGGTCGTTGATCGTCGAAATCGTCATCCTCACACTCTTTACAAATCTTATACCACACCCACAACAAACCGTTTCTCCCACGTCCGATCACGAGCTGGTGGAAAGTGGATCAAAAGAAAAACAGTGACTCAAGTCTATCCCGTAGATGTAAGTTAAACTTTGACCTTGCGAGACATACATGCAGGTAAAAAAAAAACTTACAAAAAGAAGTACCGCAACCATTCGAACTGGTCAACGAATTTGGAATTCTAGGACCTCGCCCAAAGTCAAGAAGAAAAAAAAAACGAAACGCAAGGTATTTGAGTTTTAGTACTACTGAAAACAATTGTAAGTCCCCATATTTCGTTGATGTTTTCTCTCATCTCCCCTCTGTTCACGGCATTCTCTTTGTTAACATTCCAAACAGAAAAATTCAGCGTCTCCCTGGCTTCGGCTGCGGAGTTTTGATCCTTGCACGATGATTCGGAATAAACAAATAGTCTCTACCGGCGCCATGAAGAACTCAAATTTACCGCTCATTTTGTCGTTCGGTTTAATATCGCAGTTCTTGACTTCTGTGGGAGCAAAAGAACTCAATAATTTGGAGGGACGAGCTGAAGGCCTTTTCAAAGGGGAAGAGATTCCAGACGTCAACTGGATGAGTAACGATATCGTCAATTTCACGTGGGGGTTGACGGGGGTGGATAATTTTGAGAATTTGATGTTTTCGTAAGTTATCTTCGTGTTTGATATGATGAGAATGTTGGGTTTCGTAGGGCGCCATCACTAACCAGCCTCTCTGATAATAGGACATATCTCTTTTCAACATTAGGAATATCATTGGCCCTTTTATTTTTCTTCCGGATCTATATTCACAGCGTTCAACATAGTCGACTAGCAATCACCGTCAGCTCATCCTATACGGCCTCTTCGTCTCATTTTTACTCCCTGCCTCCAGGAAAGAAATTCGTTTGGATCAGACGACATCTCATACTCGCACCCCTCCACAAACTTCGTCATAATAACCCATGGATGGTGAATTGTGGATCCAAGATTAGGTTACATCTTGGAACTCTCCCCTCTCGCATTCACTTCATCTACTTATTTCTATATATTCTATCCAATGTTCTTTACTGCACACTCGCCTTGCCATGGAACGGCTCAATCGGACCAGAGGGAAAGTTTAGAGCCCCTACCAAGGCATCTTTGGTCGCTGAATTTCGAGGAAGGACTGGAGTCATGGCAACTGTCAATATGATCCCACTATTTGTTTGCATGGTGCGAAACAACTGGATTGGTGATGCTGTCCAGGTCAACTTCGACACATGGAACTTGTTCCACAGATGGATTGGCAGGATCGTCGCCCTAGAATCTTTTGCACATATGGGTGCGTGGACAGTAAACAAGATTGACCAATCTGGATGGTCTGGTGTTGGCGAAGCATACAAAATCTCACCATTTTTGCAAGTTGGCTTGATGGTACGAATATTCTAATAACCCCTTCCTCTCAACAATAATGAAGTTTCTAACTTTTCACCCAGGCTGAAATTGCACTTGCTTTGATCGCTGTAGCATCTGCATCACCCCTTCGACACGCGAACTATGAGTTCTTCCTATCGCTTCACCAAATCCTGGTCATTTTCTTCATGGTTGGCGTTTACTGGCATCTTGTCATTGACCAGCTGCCGCAAATCACCTACGCGAATATCACCATCGCGATCTGGGTGCTCGACAGAGTAATGAGAATTTTCTGGATCCTCCGCTGGAATGTCAAGATGAAAGGTGGCAAGGTTTCATGTAACGTGGCAGAGGTTATTCCTCTCAAAGGAGCCAATGCTGTACGAGTCAGTGTGGAGCTCGTCCGTCCTTGGGACTTCAAGCCGGGTCAACATGTACGTTCTCATCATCCTCACATCCATTTTGATACTACATGTACATGTACTCTACATACAGAGTAGTACAAATTGAGCCTGCAGCTAACTAATGTTTCATAACTCACCAGGCATATATTTACATTCCCAGGATCGGTTGGTGGCAGTCCCACCCGTTCTCGATTGCCTGGGCGTCCACAGAACAGGAGTTCACAGAAAGTGAAGACGCAACCTGGGTCGAACACGGCACTGCCGAGGATCTACGAAGAAGCCAAATCTTTGCGGCAGAGACCGGTGAAAAGGTCGACCCTATGGTCTCGGTACGCGAGCATGATGCCCAGCACTTATCTGCGCCGCGCTCTGGCGGCGGAAACCCCTACGAGATCAGCCCGCACCATTTGAGCCCTGAGGGGCACCATCACAACAACCGAAACAGCACCTATAGCCCGCGCCCCGCCTCCAGGCTCCATCGTCTTAGCATGCCCCCGCTGCCAGTCTATCACCGGGAATTAGTCACGACGCAGGCACCGAAGACCAAGACCACAATGCACTTTGTCATAGCAAAGCACAGCGGCTTCACCAAGAAACTCTACGACGCGGCAGCTAGGGCTAATAATGGCAACGACGATGAGAAGGGTGAGGTGGCTCCTCTCCAGGTTGTTGGCATGTTTGAAGGTCCCTACGGGGGGCACCACTCGTTCGACTCGTATGGCACCACAATTTTCGTGGCTGGAGGGGTCGGGATTACCCACGGTATTGGGTATGTGAAACACCTGTTACACGGCTACAACAAGGGCACTGCAGCGACGCAGAGGATCAAGCTTGTCTGGGTTGTCAGGAGTGTAGACAATATCGAGTGGGTCGCTGATTGGCTCGAGGAGATTCTGCAAATGCCCAATGTTAGGCAGGTCGTAGAGGTTGATGTCTACATCACCCAACCAAATGAGGCAGCGCACACTAGTAGCTGGTCTGGGCGTGGGGGTGTTGTCAAGCTTTACACTGGACGCCCGGATTTCGATATTATCGTCGAAAAAGCTGTCAAACGGCAAGTTGGTGCCATGGCGGTTAATGTCTGCGGTGGAGGTGCTGTCAGCGACTCTGTCAGAGCTGCCGCTAGAAAATATGTCGACGTCTCTTCAATTGATTTCTCAGAGGAAAGCTTTTCCTGGTAAAAAAAAAAAAAAAAAAAAGGGTGAGAATTTACCCCGATCATTGACTATAAAATTTACCCAAGGCTAATGATTTTCTATTAGATTACTTGTAGTTTTTCATTGGTCGGATGTTAATACTATTCCCTTCTTCACCTAATATCCCTACCCTCAAACTCTTGGTATTCTTTACCTCGAGGTTTTGAATCTACAAAAAATATTTTTCCTTGTATCTACTACCACTTCCATCTTGTTTCCTGAGCTGGAGTTATCATTTTTCTTTGTCAATCATATGGGAAGGGTCCTTGGCGTCTGTCTATATTTTTTTCTTGATACCCTCCCTCGGTCTGCATGCCGCCTAGTGTATTTTGCCGGTTCCTGCATCTCTCCCTAGCATCTGAACTTGGCAATCCAACCTCAATCACGCGTATTAGCGAGCGAGTCTCTTTTCCCTTCCTTGTTATTTTTTTCCCTAGGGGGGTATATTGTGATATGATACTATGGCGTCATTGTTATTTTTCTTCTGTATATATTATCAGTTCTCTTCCATATCCAAATTAGGTCGTATTGTTCGGAACGAAGGAACAATCGTCCATATTACTATTGCATTAGCTACCTCTCCGAGAAAAAATAAAGACAAGTCCGCTCGTGATGGTGACATTTTCCGAGACAAAGCCTTAGGCGCTGCGGAAAGATCCTCCGGAGAATTATGTAGGTAGAGTATTTGGAATAATCGTCAGCGGACGCTAGCAGTTTGGTTCCCAACAAGGCCCCGACGACCCGGCGGGGTGTTCTTTTATTTCCCGATGAGATTCGAATTCAAGAGGGAGGGGTAGCCCAGCAGATGAAATTGGCGAGGTTCGATTTGGTGCTACGTTGTTCCCCCCCCGACATAATGCAAGTCTCATATACAAGAAGTGACCCGCCCTTCCTTCCTCATCCGTGCTTTACAAGCTAGCGTAGGACGGCGGTCGGGGATCCTCCAGGAAAACAAGACTGCTGTTCTTTCAAGGTTGCCTTGTCTCCTTGTGTTTTCGTATTCGTACTGGTTAGAGTTGAGATGCGTACGAGGCAAGGGCCGGGGCGCAGCTGAGGAATTGGAATTGTAGAAAAAATCCATCCACCTCTCCTCTTCCGTGGTCCCTTACACTATCCGCCCTCGTAGCGCGTGTTCGAGCCCGTATGAACATTTGCTGCAGGCCGGTAATCAGTGGGGGTGGGGGGGTTTTTCCGGGGCGGTCCGTTGTTCCGGGATCTTGTATCAGTATGGTCCTGATTAATATAATGCGGGGTGTACCGCCATGAAGTGGATGACCTAAAGAGCAGGGTTATGCCCTGGATTAATTGGAATTAATTGTTAATATAGAGAGATTCCGGAATATGTATTTGATATTATATGAAACCGCGTGCAGGTGCAGATGACGAAGGCACTACAACACAGTTGTAATCTCTCCGTCTCCTCCGCCATGATGCAGAAGAAAGCTGGGTCACGATGGAGGGAAAGCGGGGAACGCGGGGAAATGCAAAATGGTAATATGGGGAAACAGCCTGGTAGAAATGGGAGAAACGGATAGAAACAAAGGGTCGAAACGAAAAAAGGTACATGTGAAGCAGATTAGCAAGCGCGGCTGGCGAGGTAATTTGAGAATAATCGAATGATAGATCCAGCGGATTTAGTGCTCCCCATGTCGAGTCGAGTCTGACATACAAAAATCAAACACTCGATAAATAGTCTAGACCTCCATATATCCGCCGTTAGATTGGATGAAACAGATTTTTGAAGCCGGATGTGTAGGACATATGACCTGGTCGGGGTTAGACTGTAGTTTCTCATAATTATTATGGTGAGGAGTACCAGAGTGGGAGAGATTAAACGCCCGCTAATGTGGTGGATGGTGATGGTGATGGCCCTTTGTGCAGCTGGGCGGATGGTTTATTATATTTGAGGCGACGAGAGTGTGTTCGAGACCTGGCGATATTTGCAAGCTGCTTGGAAATAACTGTGGAGTCTGGACAGTTGCGAGCTGGGGGGAGTTTCAGCAAGCTGCGGGGGGGGTTGATATATGTAGCCTAAATGAAGAGTTACATACCACGGTGTACGGTGGAGAGAACAGACCGACAGGTTAGTATGTGAGAAATCTGGCCGGATGAATAATAATAGAGCAGTAGTGCTATTCTTATTAATTAATAACCAAGCTGGACGGGAGATCTGGACTTTCACGTAGACACTTCTTGTCTTGTACTAACTAATGATGTGCGCTAACTATATCTAGCAGGGCATGGATGCGAGGCCTTTACTATTTGTCCCAGGTTGGTAGATAATCTTATCTTACCAAACATCAATTGGAAATATCTGCCACCGACCTACTAGCGCGCTCACAATCTTGGTTAGCGTAGAACCGAAGGCTAGACTGTGTATCTAGCAATTATTAAGATGCACGTGTTTTCGAAATCCCAAAGATCGCTTAACACCGACCATACAAATCAACATGGCTAGAACTCACCTGCCGTCCTGGCTTGGACCAAAAAATCTAGAGTAATCCTTCACTTGACCCACGTCTCCTCACATAAACCTTATCCCCCTTGTTATGTACCGGGATGTCTGTATTCCGATTACACTTTACATTCCCAGCGAATATCCGAACAAGTGGCTTTGGTTGGCCATTGGGCTAGAGGCTTTTGCTTAGGATCTTCTCAAACCTGTAGAGTAAGCTATAGGTTTAGCGAGGCAAAGGTCATCACATAAGAAGATATAACATTAGAACTATATACATAAGAAATCACTCGATCGTTACATATACCGTACTTAACTAGTAACCTTGGTACTAGCACGTACCACGACAAAAGCGAGTGTTTTCTTTCCTTGAGACCTCATACGTCTTGTACCTGTTTTTCACTGTCTATCACTGCACATAAAACGCTCACTGAATGAGCTTCTCCATCAAATGGCACTCCCTTTGGATAGTGGTCGACCAAACGAAGCACACCAACTAAGTGACATTCAGCAACGGCAATCGAAGTGATAGGGGGAGGGAGGTCATGGCAGCTTGATCCACGCAGTCGAAATATATGAGCTTGCATGCGCAACAGTTCTTATCTTTAGTGAAGAGCGCCCCAGTAGCCAAGCCCCACCCGAGAAAGGGCATATCCAAGGAAATTTTCTAGGGCATAGAGAGAACTCTTTGGTGGTTGTGCAGGAACTAGACATGCGGACAGTTACGAATACAAAACAAAGGTTTGATACCTAATTTGAAACCTGCCAATCAGATAAGTGGATCGACGTTGCAGCTTCTAGAGCACGGGAAGTCTTCCCCGCAAAATTAGGATGGCATGGGTTCCCCGGATGCATCCCGGACATTTATCCGTAAGACTCGCTTGTGGAGAAATCACTTATATTCCTGCGCTAGGTTCCGAAAGGTTCATGATCCACTCCACCAGAGCTTATTACATTAAATTATTCTATCATCCTATAAACGAGGGTTGAGATCGACAAACACGACAAAATTATAGATTATACTAGAGGGGAGATAAATTTAAAGGGGAGATAAATCTAGAGGGGAGATAAATCTAGAGGGGAGATAAATCTAGAGGGGAGATAAATCTAGAGGGGAGATAAATCTAGAGGGGAGATAACTATATCCCTTGATGCCACCATCAAGTCTCGAAACCCACACTAACCACTACACGGGAGAAGAGATTTCCAAGACCGTATGCTAACATAAATCGTCAATAATAGAGTACTCAGGTTTCAATATCACTGGTCCAACGCTTGCGCTTGACACTACACCGCGCAAAAAATCCAAATCAGTAAACAGAAACCAGTGCTCATGCGGTTCGGTACAACATACCATTTGATAGTAAGTTCCTTTCATTTTAACAAGAGCAGCATGTGAGCCTTGCTCCACCACCTTCCCGTCATCAAATACGAAGATGACATCTGCTTTTTGTATCGTAGAAAGCCTGTGCGCAACAGCAATCATGGTCCTTCCTTGCGCTGCATTCTCAAAGGCCTTCTGCACAATCTTTTCAGACTCCGTATCGAGACTTGCTGTGGCTTCATCTAGCAGCAGGATCTTCGGCTTTCTGATCAATGCTCTTGCAATTGCCACCCTTTGCTTCTGTCCCCCGGACAACCCGACACCTCGAGCACCACATAGGGTTTCATAACCACCGGGTAGAGAGGAGATAAAGTCATGGATATGAGCTTCTTTGCAGGCTTGGATGACAGCTTCATCAGATATATTCTCGTCATTGGACCCGAGACGGACATTTTCGGCGATGGTTCCTTGGTAAAGCGTTGGCTCCTGGGCCACTAAGGAGACAGCGTTGCGGTAGCTCTCGATGTCCAAGGAGTCTATATTTCTTCCATCAACTAGGATCTCACCACCGGTGACACTATAGAAACGCTCCAAAAGACTGATTGTTGTTGTCTTTCCACACCCGGATGCACCGACGAAGGCAGCGAACTGCCCTTTCTCGATCTTGAAATTCAAATTTCGGAACACATTTGTGTCACGCGTGGAGTATTTGAAGTCGACGTTTCGAAATTCAACTGCATAACCGCCTTTTCCCTCATGGTCCATAATCTCACCGGGTGGAGGGTTTTTCTTCTCGCGGATATCAACGATCCGATTTACGGCTTGGAAAGCTTGTGCAATGTCTGGTGCGTATCCGAGGAACTGGCCCGCAGTTTCACCACTTTGGATAATTGCCTGATAAACAACAAAAAATTGAAAGGGATTGTACTCCCTGGTCGACATTAATCTACCGCCGTACCAGAAACATAACGCTGATCCAAGTAGGTTTATTGATTCTGAAGCAGAAAAGAGAACTGCGGCGTACAATGTTGTGTGGGTAGTCTTCTTTGCATGGGCGGCGAGTAGCGTTCGATATCGTTCACTAACCGATTGTTCCATGATGAGCGATGAAACAGTTCGGTATGCTCCAACCGCTTCACTAGCAAACTGTGCACTGTCTGCAAAGACTGCAGTCATACTAGCCGCCAGTTTACCTTCGATGCGGACTCGGATGAGACCACCAAGAAAGATAAATGGCAGCGCACTGCAAATGGAGACTAGTCCCAACTTCCAACCGATGATGAGTGAGAGGATAGAACATGATAAGATGTTCACAAGAGCGATAGTTATCATCCCGGAATTTGTCCCGAGCAGATTTTGCAGTGCTGTAGGGTCACTATTTAGTTTTGATGTTAAGGACCCAGCAGAGTTCCCTTCTGAATCGAAAAACGGAATACCCTGGCGGAGCACATTTTGGAAATATTCCAGACGGTAGTAGGTTGTAAGGTTCTATAATATCAACGTTACAACCGATTATCTCAGGCTTGAGGATCGAGATACATACGTATTGAATTGAGATAAACATCGAGCCCATCATGAAATAAAATACTCCAACACCTATTGCCAGAACAAAGAACATCAATGCCCAAAAGTTTGCACGCCTCTCGAACTCATTGAGATTGTCAATTGACTGGAAGGTCTCCAGGAACTTTCCAAGCAGAACCGACTGGACCGGAAAAGAGGCCCCTTTCAAATTTTTCTAATCAGCTCATCGCTCCGAGACCCCCAAAAAGCGGGAAACATACCTCCACCAGCAGCACCAACCAGGCCTAGCAGGTAAAAGGGCCACAGATAACGCTGTTCCCAGAGTAAAAGTGAGATGCAATTTATAGCCCCAAGTTCTTTGGTTTTCGTCGGGTGTGCGGTTTCGACATCACTATGATGGGAAGAATCTTTACCTTTTCCGATGCTTACTTTTGATCGCCATGTCATCGTTCTCCGAAGCCTTTCGTTGATATTCGCTGCATCTTCTTCCTCGATATTCGCCACGTCCTCTTTGTCATCCGATAATGCTCCTTCTCCGTCTCCCATTGATAAAGTCTGACCATTAACAAGTCCTGCATATGCACCATTCGGCCGAGATAACAGCTCCTCATGAGTCCCAGTTTCTAGTACATTTCCACGTCCAAGAACAACAATCCGATCCGCTTTCTTGACGGTAGAGAGACGATGTGCGATAGTAATTGTTGTGCGCCCTTTGGAGACTCTGTCTAAAGCATCCTGAACAATCCGTTCATTTCTAGGATCAATAGCGCTAGTAGCTTCGTCCAGGATGAGAATTGAAGGTTTTGAAATGATGCTCCGTGCAATTGCGATTCGCTGTTTCTGACCTCCCGATAGTTTGACGCCCGATTCTCCAACTTTGGTATCGTACGTCTCTGGTAATTCGTCTACAAATATGCTTGCGTTGGCTTCAATGCATGCTTCACGAACCATACGACGCTTCTCCTCCTCGGCCACATCTTCCCACTCGGTGCCCGTGAGTCCGTACGCAACGTTCTTGTAGATCGAATCATTGAACAAGAATGGCTCCTGCATGACTAGTCCAATCTTGCTTCTCCACCATCGAAGGTTTAAATCCTTGATGTCTACACCGCCTATACTGACAGTGCCCTGTTGAGGGTCGTACCAGCGCTCGATCAAACTGACAATGGTAGATTTGCCAGAACCCGAACTGCCAACGATAGCAGTTGTCTGGCCCTCACGAAAAACTAGTGATAATCCTCCTGATTCCACATCCCCGCCTTCTTCAGCGGATCCAAGAACAATTATATCCTTCCGTTGGCCAGAACCTGGATATGAAAATTTGACATTTTCGAGAACGAGGTCTCCAGAAGGTACTGAGGATGGTTTCAGGCCGTCAGTAGATGTGGCGTCGATTGTAGGCTTGCGATCAATAACCTGAAAGATAGTGTGTGAGGTGGAAGCAGCTTTTACTATTGCTGTTGCTTGAGGTGCTATGCTTCCAAAACACATCACCGCAATAAGGACAGCAAAGAACACACTACATATATGTAAACCACGTCAGTTAGCCAGAGCTAGAAATGGGGTATTGAGTGGTAGGATCATAAGGAGACCTCACGTAATAATTGTCCCAGCGTCTTTAATATGGCCTTGTCGAAATAATCTTATGCCATACCAAAAGCAAAGGGCATAGCTAGCATCACATATATATCAGCGCCCGCTATCAACTTCCTGTCTCAAAAAGACTTACCCGCAGTAAATCACAAAAAAGGCTCCCGCATATTGTACCCCGCTGTTTGGTGCTTTCTTTATCCCTTCCGCCCTACCCTTTTCTAACAACACCTGGTATCTTTCTATTAACCTTTTCTCGCCATTGAAACTCTTGACCGTCCTTATACTCCCCAATACCTCCTCCGCCAATTCAGCAGCTTTAGCTTGAGCAGCCAAAACTCTCTTCTCAAGTTTTATCTCGATTGGTATGCTGATTCCATAGATCAAGACAGTGGCAGGTAGAATGCAAGTCGTAACAAGTGTCAATCTCCAATCCTTGGCGAAAGCAATTGCAAACCCAGTGAAAAGCATCGCGGTGTATTGCACAAACATACCGAGCTTCTCGGAGATGCCTTGTTGTACAGTGTTAGAAAGTGTGGTGATTGAGACTGCGACAGCCCCAGGGGTGCCAGCAGCGGCGGCAGGCGTGGATGAAGCATCTTGTTGTGCAGCTACCATATCGAGAGTGACATCTGTATCTGGAACATATGACATTGCAAGAGCGTCAAAGTAGGCAAGGTCTTGTCTAAAAACAGAAGTGAGATATTCAAGGCGAAGAGCTGCAGAAATACGGGTTCCTGTTATACGAAAGCAAGCCTGAATGTTAGGTTAGTGTATGATCGTCATATATACCGGGATAACGAGTTTCGTGTCGATATTGTTTAGATCAGAAAATACTAACTATTGCAATATATCCACTGAGAAATTTGCCGAGGAAAAGATAGATAAAAAATAGACTGTGTTGTAAGTATATCGTGCCATAATATAAGCAGTGCATTACAGAGCGAGTAAAAACTCACCACATCTTATCAACACCTCGACGAAATTCTTCCGCACTGACAGTACTATTTGGCTGGAAAAATCCTGTGAATTCCGTGACAAGATTACCGAGTATTATGGTCATCATTGGGCTAATAATAATCGTTAGTCTCGAAAGCCGGGCGTACAGGGAGACATCCAGTGCTAGATAAAATGGGAAACATACTATGCAACACCAGTTGCTATAGCCGTAATGAACCCAATGGTCTGCAATCCCCAATCAAATCCAGTACCATATCGCATGATTCTCTACACATATGAGATTAGTTACTGGCCATATTCATAAGTCGAGACGCCAGTAAAAGAGATGCTAACGATATAATTGCTCATCCCCGCTTCGTCGTTTTTCTTTGCGGCAGTCTTTTTCTCTCCATTCTCAACATCTTCCTCAGTTTTTACCGCTTTGGTCTTATCTTTTTTAAAACGTTCGAAGAAACCTGTTTTCTTATTTCCGCCAGACCCGGCACCGTCCTCATAATGAGAATCAAGAGGTATAATCTCCTCTCCTTCGCTTTTTCCTCCTGCTGCTTCAGCAGGAGTAGAGGTATTCATCCTTGTTGATTGAAGAGAGCAATCGCCCCGTTTAATCCCTTCTCCGGATCGAAGAACGGTAAAGATATTTTAGCTCTAGTGGGTCACGACGGCTGTTAGGTCTTATTCGCGGGAAAGATCTTAAAATGGAAAGCCAAAACGACATATAAACCAGTATGCCATAGTGAGAGCGTTTATCCGGAAGAGTATCACATACATAAGGCAAGAGAACAAGTACTGGATTCGTTTCAAGCTCTTGAAGCACGAATAAAGGTCTGTTGGGTACACAGGCACTAGATTGAAGTGGGCTAGAGTTACTGCGGTGTTAATAAACCCGATTAAGCTTTGCTGGAATAGGATGGTTTTACACGTGGTTTGACAGCACGGCTAGGCATGTCCTAAGAAGCTTAAAAGAAGGTCCCGATCGAGGTTTGCGGGGCGGGTAATAGGGCAGGATCAATATCTCGGTCCCCCGCCAGAGCGATGAAGTTGTTGAAATCTTTCGGGAAACCGGAGGTAAGATGTCCATATATATGGTCCGCATATCTCCTAGGCCTGTCAAAACCGCCCCGAACCCCCAACATGGAGAGCACAGATCCCATCTTTTTCTGTTTGCAGAGGTCGAAATCATCGGTCGCGTGTAACATGGTGTGTCATGCACGTTCGAGTCAACCTCGTATCTGGTGTAACATTGGCATTCTAATTGGGTTATGGATGAGGTTAATTGACGAGGATCGCTCATGACTCCGCCGGTATGCGTGCCGAGAGCCCCTTGTTTTCGATGCAGCTTCCCCTATCGAACCTTAAAAAACTTGGCAAATAACATAAGCTAGAAACCATCGTGATATTCTGGTACAAGGAATTGCGATATATCGACCACTCGTGTCAGAATCCCCATTGCAACGCAGCGATATTAATACGAGGCCTAAAACATTCACGTATACTAGTAAAACGCTACGTACATGTGAGTACTAAGTAAAAGAAGCCAAATGCTAGTGCGCATGCGTCTTGAGCTCTAGCCTAGGATCCTCATATCTGTACATAGCCGTATTCAATAAGGCTGGCTTTCTGCAATATATATACCGACTTAGGATGATTCGCGTTCCAGAAATTCCAGACATGTTTGTTAGCTGCCGCGTAAGCTTAGTTACATGACTTACCGCCAAGATTCGCTCATGATCAACAGTACCCCATTCCCACTTTAAATACTTATGGAGATGGCTGGCCCAATAATTGAAACCCCTCACAAGGCCATCATTTCTTTTTCCATGGAGCCCATAGAGTAGATCGATACTACGCCCATGGGAGATCTGGCACCCTGTAGCTAGTTGACGCAACCAATGAATTCCTCCTTCCAAATAACTAATTATGCTATCGTTTATTAAGAATAGTCACTGAGATTATTCTTTGGTATATCTCGGGATTCCGTCCCTTAATATGGGTCCAGATATCTGAAAGGATGTGCCAAGTGCTAGTTTAGTACGGCCGCATACTTCAACTAAATCGTCTAGTTGTAATATACATGTATTATTATATTATATATTCAAAACATCAAAAATCACTCGCTCCCGATCCATAGGACGTATCTATGGCTCAATTCACCATAGGGGGTGGGTGTCAACTTGAGTGGCAATAAATTTTGGAGGGAGAGCCTCAAGTCAAAACCCTAAACCACGCTTCTTTCGAGCTAAAAGCCGGTTTCTGCCAATGAGAATTCAAGTTGACACACACCCCCTATGGTGAATTGAGCCATACTGTCGTTCACGGGGTACGGGCACTGGGTGTTGACGGACAAGCTAAAAGAGAGACAGCCAAGCCCGGTTTCGCCTTCGATTATTGGTGAAAAACCCTGGTCCGTCAACACCCAGTGTCCGTCAATACTGGCAACGACAGTAATCGTTTATTGATTGGTTGATTGGTTGATTGATTGGCCGATTGACTGATTGATTCGTTAAGTATATACAGCCTTCCGGCTATGCAATGGTGGTACAGTCTGTCAGCCTTTGCGCACCCTGTCGATAGCAAAAGATAAACGTGGTTGCGTTACTGAGCCTGTACAAATTGTCGTTAGTTCTTTAAGTACACCTCAACTAGTAAGACACGCGAACTTCAGGTCTCTCTCTTAATATTCTCTTACAGTAGCAGGGCCAGTTACAACACAAGGACTCTTATCACCAACTCACGCTATATTATTTAGTGAGATATGCTGTGCTGATATCAATAGAAAATCCTGGAATTTGTGTATCTCACTGACCAACCTAGGGTCTATACGGAGGCCTAGGTTCTGTGCGCGCATTTGGTATATACCTACCTATGATAGGATATGTATGGTGCATGGCTAGGCGCGTGATTGATGTATCGATAGTAATGCTCTTTCTCCAGTGCCAATGAGATTTGTCTTCGCTCTCTGGTGTAGGTTTCGTAGTCGTCTTTCTTTTTTCTGAGGACGATATCGATTTGAGTGATTATACGGAGGCTCTCGGGAGTTTAAGGAGATTTAAGGAGTTTGGGGGTACCGTTTCTAGCCTCTGATTTTAGCCCGGAAGTCCCAACATGGATCCCCCAGATCCCCTCCGAGACTAACACCTCCGAGAAAACAGCCAGCTGACAGAAAAGATCTATTACGCCAAGCTACCCATGAGTCAACCAAACGGCGATGAGACGCTCTGCAGATCTGGGCACGGGACTACATTTACTTATCCTCTTGATATTTCTCTCAGGCCACTACTGTAACAAGCACCGTGCTTGGGGCTTCAGCTGTGAAGAGAGGCAATTAACTTAGTCCCGAGATACTTTTTGTCAGATCAGCGAGTTAAGTGTCTGTACTGTTCTCTCTCTTTCTCGTTTCTCCATGTCCACGACCAGAACTAACCCGAGAGAGTCTCTCCCATCTCTAGCTTTTAGCATAACTTTCCATTATCGTCTAAATGTCAACATTAGTACCAATCAGACCTTTTCACACAAAAAATACATGTAGTGTTAGTAAGAGGTCTTGTTATAACCACAATGTTCATGTATTATAGTATCCAATTCGCTCCTTGCGTAATTACGCCTCTGTTGAAAGAGACGATATGCCTTATGAATCCGCTATGATAGGTGACTGAGAGGGAAGGGCGAGAATAAAAGAAGAAAGGAGGGGGGAAGAAGAAGCCGGAGGGGAAGAGCGCCCGAGCGAAAAGATGAAGGAGAGGTCGTTGGCCTGTCGTGTACTCTCCCGTTAACTTGTACAAGTGCATAAATATGTCACCCCAACAGCCGTCCTTCATTATATCCAACTATCTCAACAACATCTTTACAAACAGCTGTATCCGCTTAGCCACTCACATTCGTTTTCAAGCTACATATATCATCTGGGACAACTAAAGTACGGAAGTAGTGACCCTGACAGTCTTTCGTAACGAGTACTTGTGCCGCTTCTATAGCTACAAGATGCGACAGCGAACAGGAAGGTAATTCATAATATATGATAAAGCAAGCAGCCCCATCACCTTCGCTCGCCTTATGGTATTAAGCCTATGATACTTTCCGATAATTAATTTTTGTGGTGCCAGATACAGGTGCACGATAAGTTTCCGTTGAGCTGAACTCACCCTGCGATCCTGTGCATACGCTCTGCTGGCAGCACATGCAACATTGATAGCGAGTGATGGGACTACAAAACGAGACAAGACTTGAGCATGAGCTCATGTAATAATACAGAATATGTATTGCGTTTGTCAATATATAAGTGCCGGTTTTGAAAAACTCTCGTGGCTTTGGGTAAATCTTCGATCTTTATCATATTCAAATACCGTAGAGCGTCTCGGGAAAACCACATCAAAGTCGGGGGGCAGGAGAATAAGGTTTGGAGAAATTGCAATGCCCGACACAAGACGCGCGTATACAATGATAAAGTCAATTTTCTAACTGCCTCGACCGACACATTAACGTACAATGCAATGGCATCTTCTCCGATTAATCGATGATGCTTCAGAAGTACTTGCCCGATTTTTAAGTGTAGAGTATAGGACGGAGGTATAGCGGTAGGTAATAAGTGATTGAACGGGCTGAGACACAGTGATACCAGTTTTGGGTAAAACGCCACCAACATACGGTGTTTGCAGGTATAACTTTATCTCAGGGCGTTCCATCACTTATTACCCATCGCTGTACAAGGAAGACCGTTAGACTAGCAACCTCAACCTCAACGATGGGCCCGCGCCTGATATAACACCTCAACTCCGAGCAAGTATCATAACCATGCGTTTTGCTGGAGGGAAATACCGTTATTCTGGGAAATAAGCCCATGGGCTTAAAGCAAAGTGCTGGGAGGAAAGTCAAGGGAAATTGGTGGTGTATGCATATTCCCGTGACTTAAGCCAATCAGCAAGCGTTTTTCTACCACTACTTTGCTTTAAGCCCATGGGTTTATTCCCAGAAATAATGGTACCCGTATATTGGTAACGATAATTATCAAGCAAAATAAATTGAATTCATTGCGTTGGGCTTCGTTGCGTTGGGCTTCGTTGCGTTGCGTTGCGCCGTTGCGGCGCTGAGGTCGTTGTAGTTCCGTCATACACTTAAAAATCGGGCAAGTAGATCTTCATGTGAAAGGGTTAACACATGAAGGGTACTAATAAACTGTTCTCGGGGATACTTGTGTTGATATATATCGGAGGGGCTCTCGGGGAGTTTAAAATTTGGGGCTCTCGGGGGGTATGTATGGACCCAGCACATGACCCTAAAAACACCCCGAACTAGTACGAATCAGCCATTTGGTTGATTTCTTAGGTCATTGTAGGGTTTGTTGGTTATTAAAAAACACCGTGCACCCAAACGATCGCTCAATCTAGCTAACCTAACCAATTTTATAGGCGCAATCTGGAAAAATTACATTACAAAACTCTTGCTTGTCGTCAGTTCTGACCCGGCCCATGGGGTAATGCACATGTATGCATGTATTCAAGCTGCCTGATTCGACACAGGCCGGATATCGGCCTGTGACGTTCCTTTTTTGCATTCCGGTTGATCAGCTAATCCGACCCGGTTCTGATCGACCGAGGATCGAATAATAGCTACCAGACTGTGCACCGTGCGAGACGAGGAACCTGCGCGCGGGGTATGCATGTACTACCTGAGTTGTATGAACCTTTTGACAGAACGATCCATTCAATCAATCCCTCAAATCCTTGAAGGTTGGAAACTACTTACCATGGACTTAAATCGATATCAATTGTTTACTCTAGACCTCTTCAGTTATTTGATGTTGGTGCCATATGATGTAGTTTTATATGATTTAGCATTATACGATTTAAAGTTAAGTATGTGAATGTGTGCGTGTCCCATGCAATTAATTAAGCCGGCGGGCCGCAGGCACCATAATACTTGCGTCTGGTGTGATAAGTTGATCTGCGGGCAGCATCGGAGATAGAAATCTAAATTCCACCACCCGCGGCAGACCCGTGGATAGATTTGAATATATCTATGTTCAGTATATAAGGAAGCATAAATCCTCTCTAACCCAGCCATTCCCCTCCTGCTTAATCATCAGCACCTCATCAAAAGAACACAGAAGAAAAAAATGACTATTCGAGCAGCAATCATCGGGGCTGGTGTATCTGGATTGGTTTCAATCAAACAGTGCCTTGAAGATAATATTGAGCCGGTTTGCTTTGAGGCTCAGGGCCACATAGGAGGTAAGTTTCGTGCGCGCGATACTCTCCCAGAGCTTTATAATTTACTCATCATCGATCTATGTTGAACGTGATATTGAATGATTCAGGTCAATGGCGGTACACTGAGCCTGATCCCCAAACAGGCGAGGTTGTTTCATCAATCTATCGCAGTATTGTGATCAACACGTCAACAAACGTCATGAATATGAGTGATTTCCCTATGGACCCAAAGATATACCCAACCTTCCCGGTATTCCACCTCTTTGTCTGTCTTTTATTGTCTCTGTCGTGCTAAATAAGAAATGTGAACATAGCACCATCGACACGTGCAGAAGTACTTTGAAGATTATGCGGATTTTTTCGGCTTATATCCATTTATTCGTTTCCGCCACCGAGTCCTGTCTATCACTCCAATCCATGACAACAAATGGCTTGTTCAGACAAGACCAGATGATGGAATTCCCACTGAAGAGGTCTTTGATGCGGTATTCGTTTGCACCGGTCATCATTCCACGCCGAATATTCCAGACTGGGAGGGCGTCGAAGATTTCAAGAGGAATGGGGGTGAATTGATACATAGTCACAACTACAGAGATCCGGCGCCGTATATTGGGGAAAATGTGGCTGTTGTTGGAATTGGAAACTCTGGTTTGTCCCGGATTGCGCTTATTTTTATGACACATGGGTCTCGATGTTAACGTTACGTAGGTGTCGATATAGGCTCCGACCTCAGTACTATTGCCAACGATTTGCATCTAATAACACGCTCGGGCGCTTGGGTTTACCCACGGTTAATATGCGGTCAGGCATATGAGACTCTAATCCGTTAGTTACACCATCATGAGGTACAGAATATTTTATTATTACAAATCTGAATATTCACTACTTAGGTCGGGCTTTCCTGGCAATACTTCCAAGATTCTTTGCTGCGCTATTCTTGCAGTTTGTTTTTACTGTGACTTTAGGCTCTATTCCACCTGCTCTCAAGCCTAAGCATGACATTCTACAGGCCCATCCTACAAGTAAGATGCTTCCAACATTAAGACCCGTTACCTTCTTGATAATATATAACTAATAATTGAATACAGTTCGCTCTGACTTATTCGAGCGGATTAGGACGGGTACAATCAAGCCCCACCGCGCAGAAATATCGCGTTTCACTGATAGAGGGATTGAGCTTACCAATGGGGAAAGAATCGAGCCATTAAGCAAAGTCGTTGCTTGTACTGGTTACAAAGTAAGGTCCACTATCATAACCCTGGATGAACTCAATGCCGTCAGGGTCATTATTAAAGTTTGCCCCAAGCTAATCGTGTATATCTTCAGATTAAATTTCCTTTTTTGGCAGATGAAATATACATGTCACAGAATGATAGCACAAATTGGGTCAACCTACACCGCATGGTTATACCACCTAAATATCCGACATTATTTTTTATTGGGCTAGTCCAGCCACTGTAAGCTCAGTTTTTCTTCAGTCCCGTCACAGGTTGATAAATAGAGTCTGGAGAGAAATATACTAATCCCCTTAGTGGTGCCATAATGCCTACCAGTGAGCTACAATCCCGCTGGGCAACCTCTGTCATTCATGGCGAAATTTCCTTGCCTCCAGCTGAGGAAATGCAAAAGCTTGTCGACCAATACAAAGATAATCTCAAAAAAACATACGTCACGAGTGCACGACACACAATACAAGTTGACTATCTCCCTTACATGGATAGTCTCGCTAACGACCTTGGTACCGGGATTTCGCCATGGAGATTTATCAAAACATTTGGACTTATTAAAGGTTTAAACGCTATGAAAGCTGTTTATTTCGGGATGCCGGGCTCGGCGCAGTTTAGGTTGTTTGGGAAAGGGGCGAAAACGGAACTTGCGAGACTGGGTTCGGAGAGAATATACATGGGACAGGACGTAGTGATGAGTGATCAGGAGAAGGAGGAATTGGAGAAGTTCAGGAAGGTAAAGGCAAAGGTAATTAGCATCTAATGGTTCAAGGATACCGTATAACTATATATTATATTATATATATTCAAAAGTATGAGGCTTTCCAGGATAAAATTAAATAAAAACTACTCGGGCCCCTCATATTAAGACACTCTCATTCGTTCTCAAATCAATAGATTTCTCGACAAAATTCGAGTGAAATAGTAGATAAATATATGAACATCACTCAATCTAGTCCACAGAACTCTTGCCATAACTTATACTTTCATAGGCCCCATTTGAATGTGTGGGAGACAAAGGATATCCAAATGGCGCTCGTAGATATCAATCTTAGATGATATTGATGCTGAGCGTTCGTATAAAAGAAGTCGAATACTAACGAGGACTTAGACTGAAACTTTCCCCGTACACGGGTGACCGTAGACGTGGCGGTGATATCATTTCAATCGTGCTACTCAGGAGATAAATATACTTTGCACACGCTATATAAAGTTGTAAATTAATACCTCCGATGATTACTTTACTGTAGGAACCTAATTCGACTAGAGCCATTCTAGACCCGTGGTCATATGCATAAGCGGGCCTCGTTAAACATGGGTCACGTACGATCACTCGAAGGAAGATCCAACTATTCTAGCTAGACCTATAGCTAGGTCATATTAATAGAGATGACCAATGCCAATAATGCAGCAAAGATTGGACACATCATGAAACTCCTCATATACTTTGATCCTAGATCTATGGACGAGCACATGGAATCATCCCATTGCAGAAATAGAGAAATATATATGCCATGGCCTATGCTGAGCCGTGGACCTTCCTAAACTATTTATACGTACAGCCCTAATTCGATCAGTACAAGATTATTTTAGGATTTGGTTATCAATTGGGCAGAAACTTTTCCCTCTTTTTTTGGCTTTTGATTTAAACCCATGGAATCAATACTGCACTCCCAAAACCTTGGCACAAAGTGCGTTTCTGTGACCCCTTTAGAACTACTAGTACGTGACATCAAATACTTCTTAGCTGGTTCCACAAGCCCAGATTTCCATTCAATTCGCGAATTCGGTTCAATCACAAGGGCTCTTTAATACGGGACGGGAAGTTATAAGATATATTTAGATTTTCCAAGAAGTATAACCTTTCTTATTGGCCAAAATTGGCGGGTTGCAGCGATCTTGTGTACCTATGGATACTTAGCACGAAAACCTAAGACAGTAAGCTATGTAACAACGTGATTCAAACGTGCTCACACGGCAGAGCAGACGTATGGCAGTGACCAATTTCAATGATATTCTCCGAGGGTAATGACAATAAATCCAGATAGGTACCTCCTACCTCAATCTTCGATTTTAATATAAATACTAGACCTCCAATTCCAATATTGTCTTCTCCAGCCCCTCACTATCAGCACCACTTCAGATATACATTCTAGATAACTATAGTCAATACAATTAGCCATGATGGGGATAACCAAGCTTATATCCTTTATCCTCCAAATTCTCTTCTGGGCCCTCCCCAGCGCCTCCAAGGCCCTCCCAGAACCAGTAGCCCAAGATTATGGTGTGTCCACCACCACGACAACCACGGAACCTACACCCTCCCCAACTCCCTACTTCAAGCTACGCGTTTGGAACCACTGGAGGGCACAACCCCATTTCGAGGGCAACATTGAACTAAATTTTGGAGGCGTCTACTACAATCTTACTCGAAACCCTGAGGGATTTGATGTGGTAATTACATACTTGAGGTGCTTCACGATATGGCCATTAACTGATCTGGGTTGCATGTAGTATTTCGATCAAAATGCCCCCGGAATGATTAGACAGAAGGAATCTGCTGCATATGCTGCTTTGATTCCTGGTGCAACAGATGGATTGTATACTTTCCATTTTGTCACCCGTGTCAGGGTATGTATTCCTCCTGCGCCTATGGGTTTGACGGTTGGTTGGCTGACGGCTTGACGAAGTCACCGAATGTGCTGTGGAAATACTTCAGTTTCAGATGGCTAGTCTGTGGACATTGCTCAGGGCAGTATTTAGTATATGATCTTCCGGGTGCTGGTCCCACTGCTTCGAGTAATTTCCTTATGGCTCCTGATACGTCAAAGCCGGGAGCTTGGAGGGTGAGTTGTGTTTTGATCTGTGCGAATAATTGATGAAGTTGCTAATTCGAAGCACCCCTGCGATAGATTTATTGGAATAATAACAATGTCAACAGTCAGCTACCACCTGGTAGTGTTTACATTCAGTTATTGAAATAAACACTAGTTATACGCCGTTTAATTAAGAAGGTACCAAGAGAAATTCCATAGTTTATATAGTATAAGAAATTGGAAAGGAAAGTCAGCCGTTAAAACTACATATCCCAACGTTAGCTGGCTCGCCATTGCATTGTGATATGACAATCGTGAAACCTTTGTGTATGTACAACATTACTTCTGGACTCGGGACACATTAGGCACGAGAATAGAAGATAAACATTTCTATTATTAGTACTTGATCACCCAATATGGCAACAATAAAACCACAGTCACATTCATCCCTTTAGTTAATGGTAGATATTCCATGCATACCCTAAAAAGGACACAGAGAAGCATCTTAATGATCCCACCGTTAGCCCTTGCTTCTCATGCGAATGCTTGACCAACTTACGTATTTAGTGCAACCTGTGAAATGCAAACATAACCACTCTTATCCCAGCTCAACGCATTGATAATAAATGCACTGTACCATATACTAACACTCAAAATGCCCAGACATATACATATCCGCCGTCTTTCTGAATGTTTTCGAATTAAGAAGACAGCAGGAATTATACCGCAGATTACTAGACATAAGACCGCGGGCAGTTGATTTAAACTAGTAGATGATATGGATTAGCGAAGTGGGGGATACTGGAGCATCGAATTTCAACGGAGACCGCTACCTGCATCGGGAGTCATCTCGAGGTGTTGCCATCGCAAATGTGATTGCGAAGAAAACAAACTTGAGAAACAAGATGATTATCAGAATCGCAAGGTTTGCGTCGTTCATGTTTGTGATTGCTTGGCGGGTATCAATATATCAACGACAAATAATTCAAAATGGCTAATTGGCCCGCTTAAACTAAACGCAGAGCTGATGGCGCTAGTAAGCTTTTGTATATCGTTGCTATTGATTCGATCGATGAATTAGTAGGTGGTGGTGGCGAATCTTATTCCAAGAGGCGGCCGGGCCGACCAAGCTGGGAGACGTACGTCCAGAGAGAGCTTCCTAGCTACTTGGCTAGGCAGCGTATGACTGCTATAGCTGAGCAGCCGTATACGTAAGGATTCGAATTCAATCGACTGTGTGAAACCGTAATATGATGCTAAAATCGGGGGGTCGTCGAGTTTACACCTGCGATTCAGGGTAAATATTTCGCGGGGGGTTCCATAAAATTGACGGCTATGTTTAAAGAGATTCACCCCGGCACCCCTTTTAACATTTTGCTCACGATCTGATTGGCAGTGTGTCAGGCTCTCTCCGGCCGTTGTTACCCTGCTTAAGCTAACGATTTCGTGGCTCGTAGTGTAGCAGTTACATACGTTACTCGATCATGCACATGCGCAGCATGTAGATATCAAATCAGCCAATTATATTAAACTACGTCGTCCGCAGGGCTTAAAATTTGTTCCAACGATATGTTGCGAAAGACTTTGGTGTATTTAAGAATCTAAAGCTATTCAAAATAATGAGGGGGTTAAACTGCCGCAATAATCTGTTTTTTCTAACCACATACGCGTACGGTATATATATACATTATTTCATGCCATAAGTTTGACCCAACTGGCCAATTCTCTTGAGCTCGATCGAGGTGACTGGTAGATCGATTGACCGGTAATAACGACCACCTTTATCTAATCCTGAATGTTACGTAGCTAGCTAACTATATCGTACAAAGTTAGAAATTCTCGGAAAATTCAAATACATCTATAGTTGATACTAAATTACTATATATTAATGATACTTTAAGCGGGTACAGCTACAGCACGCACTACATCATATGCAGAAGTCAATATCACAGAAACGTACGATCCCCCTGCACAAACACCCACCTGAAACTAACATATAATGCTTCCAAGAGCTCGAGTGCAGTGATATCTAACTCGTACTCAAAAAATGATACAAAGCTCATATTTCTCCGGGCTTCGAATTCGATATATATTCGTATCGAAATAAATGAAAGTGATGGGCGCAAAAACACAATGAAGCTTAATTACTTAAGGGTAGTCAATTTATCAACTGCAGAGGTGATCTTGCATGATTTCGAGTTATTTTCATCGATCCCCAAGGTGTCAAGACCGCCAAATAAACGTATCAAACAGGAAGGCTGCCAAAACTATTCTCGTCTTGGCAAGTTCTACTTGCTAATATAAATTCGCAGTTTCCCCCACCTTTCTTAAACTCCATAGTCCTCTGATTCTTCCGATCAAATCTTCTTTGAACTTAGAACATGTCTATTATACCGGTTTCCCGTTTCAAACCTTTTTGAGACGGGGCCGGCGAAGCTACGGCTAGAGCGATTGGTGGTGGGTTAGGGTTTCTTTTAAATAATCTTTTTTGCACACGGTTTCTCAATTCAACTTTTGTAGCCCGGGTTTGCTAGTGAATTCAAACTTTGGGATGAAACACTCCGCCTTCCAACTCCAAATAAATGACAAAAGTCAAGACTTAAATTTCGCGGTCGACTGTAATGCATTAAATTTAAAAAGAAATCCCAAAAGCTTTAGCTTTTATATAACACCATTCTTCAATTCCATCCAGTTCTTAGCAAGAGTTCTCTCCAGTGACTGCATTAGTCTCATTCTTATTCAAAGAAAAAATCACAACATCCGTAGTGTTACATGTAGTTATATATTTGATGTTGTTATCGTGGCAGGCATGTCAACCTGCATTCCCTTTTTCTTCATCCACCCCACCACTCTTCCAGTGGCCTCCTTCCCATAAACCCTCCCGACAACGTCGCTTGGACTGACAACAGCTTTGACAGAACTATCGTAGATATGATGTCCAGCTTCGCTATAATATAGACTTGTTTTCCCCGCTTTCTCTGCAGTGAATATACGTTCGATAGGAAACATCCCGATAAGCAGTGGGTCGCCAGCACTGCTAATGGTACTTTTTGTCCGATACTCCTTAAGTATCCTACTAGCTTCTACATATGTGCGTCGCTCGTTTTTATTATCAATTTGGATGAGAAGCTGACGACCTTGGGCTCTTTTCTGCTGAAAACACACGATGTTCGAATTCCCTTGTTCGTGTATATGCCGGCGTAAAATAGGTCGTAAGACCTCGTAAGGATAGCTAATTCCACCCAAGCTAAGGTGATCTTGAGGAGGCTGTGGAAGAAACTCGCAATACTTCCGAAACTGAGGGTCGAGATCCATCGCCCTCTGTAGCAGACTCTGTACAGATGGCACGCTGTGACCTTGATTTATGGAGTTTCGTATGTATGGGGCGATCCCAATCAGCCCACCCCTAACCTTAATCTGTATATTCCTCCGGTCGATGACACCACGCCGGTTCAATTCCTCTTCTATTGCTTTTACGAATACCTCAGCGACTTGGTTGTGACGTTGATCGATTGCACCTAGCTGGGAATTGATGTACTCCCGATTGCAGTGACCTTCAGAATAGAGATCCACAAAAAACAAGTAGTACTGGAATTTTGGTATATCCAGAGTGATTGTGACATGGAGAAGATCTGGGAGCGCCGAAACTACGTCTGCAATGGCGTTTGGAAGCCGTACGAGTGATTCGATTTCGTATAAGGTGGGCCTCTGATCAGATAGACGAGGTGGGAGGTTATCTGGGGAACGTTGAGTGGTATTACCCAAATATTCTTGCGAGAATAGGCAAGTGCCGCTCACAATGTCGACGGAAGAGAATTCTTCAATCTTATCCTTTACTTTCAGGTTTGAGCTGCGCAAGTTGAAGTACTGAATCGTGTCCGGGCCAGTATATTCGAATTTTTCCGAAGCAGGGTGCTCATACGGTAACTGAAACACACGACTGGCCGCAAAACATTGAAAGTTCATTATACCCTCTCCGAGAGATTTTCCATCCCCTCCCTTTTTACCCTTGACTTCGTAACGCTCTACCATGCCGCTTTCCCCAATCGTTAATAGAGCCGTCCCTCTCGATGTTGTTGTTCTCCCATCAATCGTGTTCTTGCCGCTGATAAACGAAAAAAACCTGTTCAACGACTTCTGCATCTTCAAACACATCTTACATTCAGAAGAGGGATCTCCTGGCCGTTGTGCGCCGCCCAGGCAGGATGGAACGTAGTGATAACTCTGAACATCTTTTATAGGGCATGGAACAGCTATGCCCGCAAGGTCGTGGTACTGAACAGATACACGGCGGCCGCCGGCACCCTTATAAACCGTGATTACAGCGATAATTTTGGAATGGCCGAATTCAATTTCTTCCATACCAAGTCCAGAATATTCCCCGGACGGATCAAAGATGGGATCACATCCATCATGCAAATCAAACTGGGTATCTCTCTCAAGATACATGGTTCCTATCCTGCTTTCCAGTGTCAGATCTGAAGGTTGATTTTTGATTTGAGGGGTTTCCCAATGGTTCTTACTGTGAAGAATTGATTGGCCTTGAGAAATCGTAGAGAAATGATCGTGAAGTGATCCATCATTCTAGGTGAGAGGAAAACATCTCGTTCTTATACATACTAAGAAAAAGGTGGATTTGATGCCTCTTCACTGAGCAGGCGCATCCCTGGCATGAGACAAATTCTCTTGAGTGTAATGAGGATACCAATTCAATTCAGCCTTCGCAAAACTAAACTATGGCCGTATTGCTAATCATGGAAGTTCCTTTTTCAAAACAACCAATAGAGGCTTTCAGTTGACCCGAATTTTTATTTTCAAAGTGAAAGGAAAACTCATGCAGCTAAAGTTGCGTCTGCTTCTGCAGCTGACATGTCACTTTCTGATGAATACTTAATGCTAAATATTCCGTCCTCGAGTATTTCTCAGTCTGCACCTGCAGGATGCTCTGTTTGTCGATAGTTCAATGCACTTCGGACAGACTCTTGGCTGCAGGAGTTTCCTTTTCACTTTGAAAATGGAGAACCGGGATCAACTGAAAGCCTCTAATGCCTTAATTCCTTACGATTCTTGACGTCAGCTCAATTGATCAATGGATCGAAAGCTTGTATGAGATGCATACAACAGAATTCCCATAGGATATGTAGCCGGCCTTTGTACTCTATTCGTACCATGGTTACCGGTATATATACCTCTCCGCCAATATTACCATCATAAATTCCCCGAGTGGATTGAGGGGGGTGTCCGATTGGTTAGAGAAGACAACTTTGTCCGTGCGTAGAGATAGCACATGCTCTACATGTAGATCATGTCCCTGCATCTGCACTCCGATCGTCCGATGCAGAAGGCGACAGTTCCCTGGAGAACTTTTTGGCTGAAAACTGTAGGAGTATCTGATTAGAATCGCACCAAACAATACCAAAGCGTAACTACATGTAGTTGTTCAACAAAAGCGAAGGTGATAGCAATGAACTACTCAGCTCTTGAGTAAAATCTATATCTGGGCTTAGGCTACTAGTACGGCTAGGGTGCGTGCATGACAACACCATAATCTACAAGTGAGTCGCGCGCTAGCTAGATCGAGGGTAACACATACATGCACTTACACCGGCGCTACTTTAGACATGGAGTCGATCATTCACACTAGGGCGTTGACTACATCATAGAGTAAATCTAGCGATAGAGTACTAGAGTAAGTAGGCCAGCGTTGACTGACAAGGGGATTTGGTCCAATGAGTGTGTTTTACTGTGCTGAATGGCCGGCAGTACCTGCTCTAGGTAGTTGATGTCACTCAACGCATATATATTAGGTATATCTTCTAATATGTACTGTCCTTGATTCTTTCGCGCTCGGAGAAACCCTGACCTGAATTGCGTGGCAACCAGACCCTCAACGGTATGGGGGTGCGGGCTGGTGTCTACAATACAATGAAGTCTAACCAGCTAATACACAACTGCATCTATCCAAAAACACCACCATCGCCAAAACCCTTCGCCATAACGTCCTCTTTTAGCAGCAAAGTACAAGTGTGTAAGCAATCTCCATCTTTAGTAGATTACATATGTACTAATAAGATACAACAGTCAAATCATGTCTACCTCAATGAGTTCTGTACTTGTCACCGACATGCCAGCGGTCGATGACAACACCATTCTTGATATATATTGCGATGTGGAAAGAATACATGCCTGGCTTGATTTGAAGAGATCCCAACAGACCAACGGATGGTACGTTCATCCCCGGATAGTGTACTACACTGGTCTCAAACACAAACGGAATGGAATCGCTTCCATCAAAAAGAACAGCCGATTGACCGGCGAATATTTCGAGCGCCAGATTTCCAATTTTGAGAGGCTTTGCACCGTCCAAACCGCGCTGACAAAGATAATTAAGAAGGGTGCTATCTACTTCATCTCCGCTCCAGTTTACGCCAATGAATATCCCACTTTCGACTTTTCTGCCTTGCCTATTACAATAACATCGTTGTCATTCTAGATCACTACAAAAAGAAAGACCATGGTTTAAATAAAGATGGAGAGAAGGTCAAGCTGCGGTTTATAGACCTCTGCCGTGATCTGGTAGTTGCAATTCGTCTTATAAGAATGATACGTCAAAAGTACAATGAGCAGTTGTGGTGGGGGAAGGGTACTACGGGTGGGGAAGTTGATGGTACCAACGGCATTATACTTACCCAGGAAATGATTCTCAACGTTCCGAAGGTTGACGAGAACCGCGAATTTAATTGGGAGAAAATGGGTTTTGAGGAAATCACTTATTAGCCGGGTACAAACTCGATCATCCATATATTCTTGGTTAAACACTTGTGTATTATTATGATTCCTGTAAATGGTTGTTTCCATAGACTCGCATTAACAATACTACTCTACTACACGTCATGATCAATTGACCCTGGTCTTAAGCATCATCGGGGCTCTTTACGTAATTTTGAGAGAGCTTTTGCATCACCACACTCCGAACAATCCGCTGAATCCCCCATAAACTGGTTGGACGAGGCATGTGTACGTAGTGCGCCCAGCTAGTCTCGGTGATGCCATGTCAGCACTTCAAACGATCTTGGCTCCTTCAGCCGCTTTTAGACCAATCAAAGCGCCGGTTTCTATTCGCCCCACGACTGGGGATCCGCTCCCGCCGCGAGTCAGCCAGGTAGGCTCAAGTGTGCCCGAGTAGTGTTTGAGAGGGCCATAGGTTTATTGATCGATACCTTTTGATTATGGGAGAGGACGAGAGGTCGTTGACCTGCTGACGTAGATTACGGCAGACTACGCGTATATATATACATGTACATGTAGTATAGCCCCAGTCGTCCTCTCGTGCCCCCGACTAAGTACAGTTAGCATAGGACGCTCATTTTCACAACCTATGTAGGGAAATAAATACGTTTAGGTACATTTCTATGAGATATAATTTCATTCTGCTCATAGTACTTTTTTTCCTCCTACAAAACCACGGCCATTTCTGATTAGGGACTGACGTGACCTCTTGTCACCTATAAGATCGGGGATCACCAAAACTAGAAATAGCCTCTTGGCACGAGTGATGTTCTGTGATGCCACAAAGCTACGTCTGGGTTTTTATTGATTGATGGATAATTCATGCCGTAAAGCTGCTTGTGCACTTGGGTAAGAGGTAGGATTTAACCAATTCTCCAGAACAGGGCTTTGTAAAGATATCGTCCCCTATTGGATCCTCCGTTTTCCGCAATCCGTACAGTCATGATCGCTCTTTAGGAGTGCACTCAGTGACATATATACATACTTGTATATATCAATTTTTTAGAAGTTCATGTAGCTATAGCGGCAGGTCTTGAGCGGCTGTCAACTCGGTGAGCGAGTTCTCTGTGCCACATTCACGAATTCCATGTCTGGCTACTACATGTACATATTGACACCATTAATTGCCACTCGAGTCAGTCCGGCGGCTCAAGTAGCTTATACGTAGGTTGAGGCTTGAAGTAGCTTGGCAATTTAACACCTAAGCTTGATGGGCCACGGCGGCCCGGCTGAAGAGGTGTGAAATCCTCCGAACGGCATTCTACACCTTTATTAACGTCTGTAGCAACGTGCACCACTGCATGCACTTTCTCTATCGATATCATCAGACCATCATTGAGCAGTAATCAAGACCAGGTCGAAGGACATGCACCTACCCGCTACACTACGATCGCTTCCAGACTTTTACAGTTATGTGCTTACGCAGCGAATCAACAACAGCGTGGGTGAGCACAGGAGTCGACCACCGCTTTGCATATCTCCATCTACGGAGGGAGACTCGGCGTGGGCCCCCCCCCCCCCCCCCCGGGGGAGCCTCGGCCAATTCGACCTGTCAACCCACACCACCCTCAACGTCCCTCCAAAGGCCATGTTATTTTATTGGTAACTGTACCGCTTGTTATTTCTCTTGTTCCAGCCATATCTTAGGACAACAAGCCTTCAAAAGGTTACCACACACCCCATACAACAAGAGCGCGATAAATGTTGAAATACATACGCTCGCCCCACCCGTTCGACCGCTTGAGGCCACCACCTCTTGCTGCTTCTAACAAGTACCCTCCAATATATAACGACGGGAGTAGGAATAAATGCTGGAATTAGTGCGTCACCAGATATCACCAGCCTCGAATTAACATGAGTTGGTTTTCGAGTGATCGGTTATGACCGAAGGGATCTAGGGGAGTATGGGACCTCGTTTAGTGCCGCCACATTTTTAGGCGTATGCTGTTCAGTCTGTACGGACGGGTCTCTGGTTCTCAATGCCGACCAGCAAGATTCAAGGCTAACAAGGGCTTCCGACGCTGGGTTGAGTTATATTTCTAAATGAAGTAGCTAATCTATGTACTGGATTAACACTTTCCGAAACGCTTGGGCATATGATTGGTCGAGAGCGAGGAACCCTAACCCACAGCTGTATAGCAACCAGCCCACCCACCAAAAATTGGGAGCGGGCTGCTATGCTAACATGACACTGGCAGCCCGGTATTAACTTAGTATGAGGGGATCAGTTATACTACGGGAGGTGGGCAATTACATGCACTGGGGATGAGAAGTCGGAGCTGGAAAAGTAAGAGGGAGAAAGTACTGGAGGTTAGATCCGGGAAGTACTATATACAGCAAAACCTATCATAATTCCCCGCGGCAGCCGAATTTTACTAGAATTATCGGAGGGATGGAATTTAGAGAGAGGTATTTGTTAACAAACCACAAGTATTATTCCCTCCGAACGCTGGAAATTTGGTAGGGATAGAATTTCAAGAGGGTAGAATTATGATAGGTTTCTCTGTATAACGATCAATCCCTATTACCAGGTGAGAACCGTAACTGAGATAGCTGTATCTCCATGAACCACTGCTGGAGGAGGTGGACAGCTGCGGGGGCTGGCCAAGGTAAACGGTGGGAGCTGGCCATGGGATGGCTAAGGGCAACATTAATTAATTAACTACTGGAGGTGGCCAACTACTATAGGTGAGCAACTACGTGGGGGTGGGAGAGTTTCTTGAGCAGGAGCAAGACCTCACGGTCGCGAGGTGGGCCACTACTAGTTAATAAGGAAAAGTACTAAGGGTCTTTACCATACTAGGCAGCTGGGACAAGTCATACATACATAAATACCCCGCCCGTGGCTACACTTGGTTCAAAGAGCAGTCTAACCCCCTGCTAAGACGCAGTGAGAATGCAGCACCAGCATCAAAGTCTGTGGTCTTTTTTAAAGCCGCTGTTCAAAGACTTTCCCGCACACCCGGCTCGAAAAGTTGTGAGGGGATCTAGGTGTATAAACTTCAACGGCTGAATTAATCGGCTTACAGGAACTAGAGTATCCGCTACCTCAATATTCTTGATGGTGGCTTCCATCCAAGGAGATCATTGATGAACTTGTGCTACTTGGATTTGGCGTACCAGGTGGGTAACTGGGTCTATCGCATTGACAGACCTAAATAAAAACCGGTTTATCGCCTGGTAGGCCGAGACCCGCTCAGAATCTGGTGCTCTACAGGCTCAGCAACTTGAAATCTCAATTCTACCATTACCTATGGCAAGGCAAGCGCCGGGTTTGTACAATATGCAGAGCACCAGATTCTGGGGCGCATGTTTCGGCCCAACAGGCGACAGTGATCGGATGAGACCAGCCTCTCTCAGCAATGGGCCTCGCAACAGCGCTTATTTGATCGTATATGCTGTAGCTAGGTAGACACGAAAATTATCTATCCCTTGGACCCGGGCTGCTGAGACGTGTGGATCCAAGGACTTCGTATCTCGGTAGTCCTTTGGGCTTGCTAGTGGCATCGTCACTCAGCCTAACGCTCAATCACTGAGCCACACTCTGAAGAAAGGTTGTTTGGCTTTACTTGGATTGGAGACTTGGATAATGCAAGTCTTACGGGGATGTTTAATTTTAGGAATTAGGGAACAGAAGACTGTTGGATCGAAGAGTTTTAGCTGATCGGGCAGGTGGGCAGAAAGTCTAGCAGCGCGGCCCTAGGCAACAATTGGCAAGAATGCAGCTAATAGAGATATATTCGGATAGAAACTCTTGCAACTGCTATTGGTTACAACGTGCATAAGTCTCTGTCCAAACTCCTCGGTTTCTGTCCAAAGCCCTCCAAACCGCGTAACTAAAATCCTCTAATAAGGGGCGCGTGACTTTTTATCCAAATGCTTCCCACTTTTGCGTTCAAGTGGCGTAGCTAGAACGAGCAGGTAGAAACTCGAGCATGTTGCACATGCACTATTCACAGCCAATAGAGAATTCACGAGCTTCTGTTCAAAATGTTCCAGCTAAAATCTCACCAGGCCACTCCTCCCCTGAAGCACTGGCCCCGTTTCTAAGAATTCGCCCCCATCACAACAGTCCAACCGGCATCAAATTAGACGCCGGAAGAATGAGGGGTTTTGTTAAATCTTTCCAGGTCAGACGCGTGAAACGATCCTCATGGAATGCACTCACTAGCTAGCGTTTACAGCCTAGATGGGTCTGTATGCGCTAGCTAGGTCGGGTATTACGATGGAGAAACAGGCGCAAGCCCCTTCCCAGCTGAGCGCGCATCTTGTGAAATGCACTGAGACGGAATTGTGATGTTCCGGGGCTGTGTGGGTCTGAATACTGCCAGATCCGGTATTAATTTAAAAGATACCTTCACATGCGTAGACACTTTCCCTCTATTACGAGAAGAAGTTGGTGGAAGAAAGCAATCAAAGACAGCAGAAGGCTTGCTGTTTTTCCCTGGATGTTCTCTGGTTACTTTTGACCTTCTTGTTGGACCGATCCCCCGTGAGGGCTGTGTTTACCTAGTCTAGCTGAAAGAACATGACGTAAAAAGCGAAAAAATCTTTAACCAGTCCTCATAAAGCAAATTTCTTGCCCAAGATTCCACAACAGCTCTTTCTAAATGGAGGAGTGTCCGTAAAGAGGTCTTTTGGTCCAATATGACGTTATTTTATGCTTGGTTTGCGAGATAAATACTAGTTATGAACCCGCGTTAGTCACTCTACAGCCTATCATTCTCAGTTTGCGATGAGGCCTAGGATCGCTGATGTAGAGTATGATACAATCCCTATTATTGATTTTCTTGAGTACAGCTGCTCATTCGCCCGGATGTTAGGACGAACAGTGCCCTAAAAGAAGGTGAGGTTCTGTGTGGTGGGAAATAGCCAAGATACCAGGCCACTTGAATTATTGGCGCACGCATGCCAGTCAAAGCCCGTGTTCGTCTCACCCCATGAACGACTTGACATGCATGCATATCACCACAAACAGAGAAAGGGATCTAAGCGGTACACATCCTCGCGGCTAAGAGCGTGGTATCAACATTGGGTAAGGATATAAATGCTCTAGAGTCGCGAATATCATGAGAGCCGGTATTCTCCTTTAAAAGACCGGGGGGATCGGGCGTATTACGTACCGGATATGTACAAGATTTACCTCTAGAAAGACCCAATCACTTCTCTGCCCGCTGTGAGTCAGGTTACTTACATGTATCATCACCAAGTATATAGTATGTTTTGAATATCCTTGTTTATCTGCAACTGACCATTCGAAGTGCAATTGTGGGCCACATCAGAGCGACTCCACTAGGAGTCTCCTTTAGACTCTCATAGAGAGTGCAAATATCCCTACTCTACCTACATGTATGTAGACTAAGAATATCTCGCAATTAATCAATTGCTAGGGAAGGCAGACTCCTTTCTCTGGTGCGGTCATAGATTCTCACTCGATCCGGATACAACAAGATTTTTTAGCGATGATCTCCGAATTAGGCTTAGACCCGATAGCTTATCTTGCCTTGGCAGCGGGTACAGGTGCGGGTACTGCGGGTAGGTGCAGTAGTCCAGGTAGCAACCAACCAATCACAGTGGGCGTGGACTTGATTCGTCACTTGTTTTGCTCCTACGACAAAAGTGAAAACATACACATACGTAGGCCTCTCCTCCAGATTGGTCCAGATGCATAGCTCTTTGTTCCGATCTTGTGCTGATGTGTAGTCGACAATAGTCTCGTACCCAGCCCGTTACTTGCAGCAAGCTGCTCACAGTACTTCCTCTGGAAGCATGGAAGTAGACGGGTTGGGGACGAGCCTAAGTCGACAAGTATCAACACTTTTGGAATCTACAATTGCGAGCGTAAGGACTCAGGAGAGGCATCAACGCTCCTCGATGTGGAATGGAATAGAGATATCACTAGAAAAAGCCGTACGAAAAACTCGTGTTTCTGGGTACCGGCTTCAATTAGCAATTACGGATACACCGATGGTGTGAAATAAGAGGAATACACCACAGGCATCTTCTAGGCTATCGTATCACAACTCTCCCGCTTGCCAAGGTGTTTGCTGTTCCCTCACGAAATACTCTACCTAGGTACATATGACAGAGTTGATGCCCTAACAAAGAATTGTTTATGCAGGCTTCAGGCAACCCATCTTAAGTCAATACCTGAGTGGTGGAAATTAGGCAGAGTCAAAGGGTGTGGGTTCATGGGGCTCAATTCAGGCGGCAGCGTTTTGGTGTGTGGCTGCTTTGGTCCTGTGGCTGTGTGTACAAAGAGTGTGGATGCCAGTAGGGATGTTAAGGACCGTGCTCTCTCTTAAAAGGCCTTACCCGCCTCAAACCAACTAAACCTTCTTTTTCTCTCTCTTTCTCATCCCCTCAACCACCCTCTAGCGAGCACAACAATCTCACGTCACCCCCCGCAATTTCCCCTCCCCCGCAATTTTTTTTTTCCCCGCATACAAATCATTACCACTGTTTATCGAATTGAACCCAGCCATAGTGAACCTCACGACTCTCCGCCGCTTCTTGCGGCGAGGGTCACGCCCCTACGCAATGGAGATCGCCGGTCACAGCCAGCCTACTTTCGATAGCCCAAATTCCTCAGTACGTTCTTTCTTTTTTTTGAATTTGAAAAAAAAATTATTGAATAAGTTTTCTAATAACCTTTTTTAGGATCACACCGAAAGCAAGCGATACTGTGCGGAGAGATACCGTACAGAAGAAGAAATTTATATTGCTGGAACAACCTTCGCAAGCAACCGCTTGGAGATGAGTTCGGATTCGGATTTTAAGCCAAGGATTTGGGCTTTGTTGGCATTTGGGTCACTCTTGATGGTATATTCACCTTTCTTGATACCCCCCAAGAGTAGTGTGTTCAATAAGGTGTCTCAATTTCTAACATCTTCATATATAGGTGAATATCGGAGGTCACTTTCCTACAGGGAAGTTCATGCCTTTGATTGCCGCTGTTGGGTGGTCCTCGCTATACAGGTTCTTTTTTGCGGGCCGTGGTGATATTATCACGGTGACCCTTAAGGCCAATCCTCACATGTCTTTAGGCGAGAGTCGCTCGGAGGGTAAAGGTAGCGCTCCGGCTTCTGTTCTAATGGTGGGCAACGGAGTACTGGCAGTCGAGAGGATAACGTCCTTGCCTTTGAAAGGAGGCAAGGACGTTATCCTCTCGGGTACCAGATTCCGTTCTCCACCAGGAATTACAGCGTCGCAGCGGTGCTTGGACCCAACTCGATTTACCACAGCACCACAGTTCCAGTCGCCAGGCCAACAGTCTTCGTACCCGCTTTTACACTTTTCTGCTCCCACGCCTTTACACTTTTCTGCTCCCCCGCCTTCCCCCACAACTACCAGGAAGGAAACCGCCCACTCTCAGACTTTCAAAAGGTATTTAGCTTCTTTGCTTGATATGTGGACATGGCTGATCATTCTTTCTCTTCAAGTCCAATCCATGCAAAGAAGCGCCGAAACAATGGTTACTACCGCTGTTATCCGCGTCTCTCGTCCCCACCTATCATCAACTAGAGAGACACCCCCCAGTGCTTCAACACAATCGTCTTGTACGTGACTCCTTGTCTGATAGGGTTAATTGCTTGATCTAATATCGTGGACAGCACATTCGCGCATTGCGCACACCACTTCAAACAACACCACCACCACCGCAACCACCATCGATACGCTTCATCGCACCCTCCACATATCTCCGGCACAGACCCAACAGGCCTCAGCTCTGGATCAAACCAACATGTCTCAACTCACGGAGGATATGGATAGGTTTTTCAACCAATATGTCAACGACGATGCCTATGCCAATGACATGAACATGCCTATCAATGACTCCGATGTAAGCGTACCTGAGGATGCTATTGACTCTGGTCTCGATGTCCATGGCGCCAATAATGACATCGAACTTACCGAGGACGAAATTGACATGGTACTATCACAGTACCCAGAGTATATGTGCAATTACAACGATTTGAATGCGCAAAATGGAATGGTGTCAGACGAGGTAAATCTGAATGTTCAAGGCGATCCAGGGGGGGGATCAACCCAGTCTTCGCGCGAAAATTATATACAACAGACTCACTTTTTCCAGGATCAAAACTGGGTATCACCACCACAAAACAACTTCTCGGCACACCCTGTGAGCCCTACAAACACCGACTCATCCTCCTACTCACAACAACCTTTTACCCCCCAATCGTGGGATTCACCGACATACGATCAGGGTCTATTACAATACTCTCCCAGCACCCCCTCACCAGATTCCTCCTACGAGACGGATTTCGAAATGATGGTACTCAACCCAAGTCCCGCTCAGACCCCATCGCCCGCCTACAATGTAGTGCCGGCTCCTTCCGAAAACTGGGTGCTAGATTCGCCTTTCAGTAAGCCATACCTCTATCCAATTCCAGCTTGTCCCTTTGATTCCTGTAAAGTGTACTAACAAGTCTTAGACCCGATCAACAGCACGCCCACATCTCCGGGTCTACAAACACCCTCCACTCCTCTGACTCCGGATCCCTCCCCTCCTTCCCCTACCACTTCATCCAAGAAACGCGATAGTAATAGCAATGGTCCTGGATGCCTCCCCAAGCCTCTCAAACCCAAACGCCGCCCCTCAAACCACTCCGGAATTGTGAAGCCACTGCGATGTGAGTTTCCAGGCGACGCCGATTCTGGGCCATGTAATAAAGAGTTCGACCGCAAATGCGACTTGAAGAAACATGCCAAGCGTCACGTCAAGCCATTCCCTTGCAGATTCGAGGGTTGCAAGAACATCCGTGGATTCTCATCCGAGAAGGATCGCGAACGGCACGAGAATTGTCTCCACAAGAAGGAGTGTCTCATGTGCACAGAGTGTAAGCATGAAACACCTAGAAAGGACAACATGAAGGATCATGTAAGCAGAAAGCATGGGAAGCATGTTGTGGATGAGATCATGCGCCGCATCATGGCTGCGCCGAGGACAAGTCCAAGGCCTGATGGTGAGGATTCGGGGGGGGAGGAGCAGCAGTAGAAGCTTTATACAGGCTCTTTTCAAGTATGTCTAGCCCATCCCATACTTTGAATTAATGGATCGATTACTAACATTGCCTTTTTAGATGATTTTTAGCGAGCTTATCTGATTTTGGTTTTTTGGTTCTGGTTTTTTGATTTTGATTTTGGTTTTTTGATTTTGGTTTCGGTTTCTGTTTTTTCGGTTTCTGTTTTTTCGGATGTTTTGGTTTTTTTATCTGGGTCTTGCATGTGCTTTGAGTTTTTGTTTTTCCATGATTTTGATAAAAAAGTGCGATGAGTGATGAGTGTTTGTTATTTGGTTGATTTTGGTTTTTTTTTTCCAGTTTCGGAATTTTTATGTTTTGTATATCGGGTCAATAATAAACCGGGTTACAACTTCATGCTAAATAGCGGTATTCCACTACCGTAGAACTCAAGACAACTTAACTTGTGTTTGCTTCGTTGAGCTGATGAATGAATTGGTTGAGATGATCATCATGCGTAGGTTTAAATGATCATGCGTAGGTGCAGGGTTGTCAAGGTCGCCCTCTCTCACCATAACCCAGCAGATCGAGTGATATTAAATGAGCCAAGCCCCACCAATCCTAGCCCTCCATATAAATACAAGTACATGCATCTTTACACAACCCTTTCCATTACAGCGCCGTCTTCTCGGGATCAAGCGCGCGGGCGGCAGTAGTTTGGCTTCCTACTCGAACTGTCCTCAGCAAAGATACCGCCATAAACCAGGCCCTCGTCCAGGTTCGACTGCTGGTACCCCTCATGGGCAACATCGCTCGACGGCCCAGTAGGAAGCTTGAGAATACCGATGTGCGCTGCAGACACCAATCAACACAAGTCCCACAACCCAGGAGATATCAGCACGGATCCAAACACTCACCTTGCCCCTTCCCTGTAGCGTCGTTCTCGCGAGTCTCGACAACCTTCCTGAGAGGCGCGTAGTCGGCCGAGTAGTACACCGCAATCGTGCTAGCAACCATCCCCCCCGTCCGTCAGTATGGCTTCCTTCTTCTTCTTCTTCTTCTTCTTCCATCGGATTATAAGGGTCAGGACGGTGAAATACTTCTTGTCCCAGTCAGTCTCAACAGCAAAGTTATGCCACGGCCCCCCCTTCCGAAACGGCACCGAGAACAACACCTCCTCCGCCGCGCCGCCCGCCGTCGAGCTGCCCAGCCGCAGGGTCCGCGCGTCGGGCGCGGGGAGCTTGGTGGCGCCGTAGGCGGTGCCCGTCTTGAGCGTCCAGACGTGGCTGCTGTAGTCGTTGGTTTCGATGAACGCCAGCTATGTGCGCGGGGCGGGGGTTAGAATGGGTTTGGGGTGGGGTGCGCAAAGGGGAGGGAGGGATTACCTCGTATTGGTGCGAGTAGTTGAGCGGGCGGTGCGGGTCGTCTTTGATGGAGAAGTGGAAGGTCGTGTGCCCGCTTACGGTTGCGTCGGTGCCGTTGTTGGGTTTGGGGAGGAGCTCGGAGCGGCGGAAGCCGGCTTGGGGGGTGCCGCCGGGGGCGAAGATGGAGTCGTCGCTGTATCGTGAAAGAAGGGTCAGTTATCTCGGTGGCGTCGAGGAATTGGTGGCTTTGGGGGTTGTGCACATATACTTACTTGATCGTGACCTCAATGGCTTTCGACCGGCTCCTCAGATCATACTTCATGTCATGCAATTGCGTCAGCCAAATCGTCATTCAAGGAGGAATTAACACGAATTGTCCAGCCTACCATCGATGTCTCGACTCTTGGGAACTTTGCAACATCAGACCATTTTTGGCCTACGAAATTGGTCAGAATCAATAAACCTCCCTCTATATTATGGCCGCCATCAATTGGAAACCCCTATCATATCATACCTGCGCCAAGAACATACTCTGCATTAAACGGCGACGCCGAAGCGCTGTCCAGATCCGCCAGTCGCGTCTTCACCGGGATCCTCCCATCAAAGATGATTTTCGGGCTCCGCTTCTTCATGGGCGTGCCTGAGACCGCGCCGGAAAGCGCGAGGGCGGCGGTGAGGAGCGAGGTGAAGAACGACATCTTTTTTTTCCTCACGAGGTGGTTGGCGCCGTCAATTGAGGGTGAGGATGAGAAGATCAACAATTGAAGGTGAGGATAAGAAGATCAACAATAACAAGAGCGCGAGAAGATCTTCAGCGTTATATAAAGTGGCTAGTTAATATATTGATATCCCGGATCGGATATTATAATGCTGGAAACCCGGGAAATTAAGCCTTCCTTGCCCTTCCTTGCGAGAACACCCGTAATGGCAACATTGGAGCCGGTATTGCGGTTATGTGCCGCCGGAGTGGCGGGCCGGTGACCAATGAGGAAGGATGGGAGGGTTTGTTTTATCTTTGGCTCTGGGGGTGGTTGAAGAAAGCGGTTATCGGATGTCTAATCATACGAGATCACTCGGCCAATGATGGGCACGTGATCGGGGGCTAGCGTCCATTTTTCTAACAGGTCATCGACGTGGGATGTCGAGCTTGGATCCCTTTTTCAGTTTATCTCTGGATTAGACTAATTTTTAAGCTAATTGATCAGCGATCTGACCAAGGAAGAGCAATTGGAAGGCCCAATGCCGGCTTAGGCTTATGCTTAATTGGGCCCGCGCAGTGATAAACGATGAAGTGCATGACTGACTCTACTACCGAAAGAAATGCATCAGCAAATGCATCCGTAAAATGCATCGTGTACCAAAAAACTGTGGAGTTTGTGTAATGCATCGATAAATGCATCCATAATGCATCGATAATGCATCACAGTCTGATTTCGCCAAGAGTTCAATTATAAATCAGTAAATGTATCAGGAAAATAAAAATACAAACAGTTCCGGGTTTGAACCTGTACTATTGTGCTTGTAAAGCCCACACCCCGCCGCCTAAGCTATTAGTTGATATACTAGAATTAAGAACTATACCAATAGATCAAGAAGTTCAAAATCATACGGAAGATCGTAAGCAAAATCATACGGAAGATCGTAAGCAAATCGTAGGTAAAATCGTCCAGGCAAGAAAGGTGATTGTAAATTCGTTCTTGTACGGTAATAGATCAGCAAATGTGTTCAAGCATAATCTCATCAGTAAAGTAATCCATAAAGTCGTCATATTCACCGCTAGACGACATTACAGAGGCCTCGACAGGTTTATGCATCAATCGATGCATTTACGCACCATTTTAGTATGGGCAATGCATCAAGTGATGCATTTTTTGCGCTGGCAGAGTGAGTCTCAGCAAATCGATGATATTCCAATATTCTTAGTTAATTAAAAAAAAACAAAAAAACAAGCAAACGTGGGTTTATAGTTGTAAACCATCTGACGGCTATTTTCTAAATAGTGAGCCAAGAATCATGAGCTGCGACTAGCTACGTAATAATTATCCTTAGATCACCACGAACAACGATAGAGGCCAGGTGTGTAGTAGATCACACTATAGCTAAGACCTCTAATACGCGTATACCTAGGCCCCAGGAGCACTACGTAGTCTTCCACCGACCAGTGCAAATACTGCCACATCCAAGTCCCATTGCACCGCCGCACTCAACTGCATATTCGTGCATACAACCACAGCCCCCTCCCCGTCTGCCCAAGGTTGTAAATTACGAACATATGTACGCACCTGGAGACTACATGTAAATAGACGTACTAAATACAAACTATTTCCTTAGTAATTGTGTAAGTGAATTGTGGCCTCCCGCCGCCAACACAGCGAATCCATCACTGGTACGTAAAACAAATCAATGACTTACCTTCCATATTGATGATCTTCCTCTACGTAAATACCTTTAATCAGAGGCAGATTATGAGAGGATAGGTAGGCTGACTGATTTGTATACTTACACAAGGGGGGCTCGAGGAGATGGGCTCAAAGCTAACTGTGCCGCGCAAGCAAACATGCCCCGGTAGTGTAGTGGTTAACATACCAGAAACTCAGCACGTAGGTTTAGAGCTGTGAGGAGATCTTGGGTTCGAATCCCAATCGGGGCAATATCAATTCTTTTTTCTTTTTCTTTCTTTCTATTTTTTCTCGCTCCCCGGAAGGCCGTTATTCCTTCTAGCACCCGTGATGATCTCTCATAGCCCGAGTACAGGTACCCGGGCCCTTACTCTACGCCAGCAGACTATCTCATCTTATCAGTTTTTACACGGTATATTCTTTTATATTATAGTAGATGTAAGTACGCAAGCTTTAAATTTTCTAATACCTACCAGTTTGTAATCTGATACTTGACGCCAAGATAACTATATCCCAACCCTAACCCTCTAACTATGCTGGCAAGCACTCAGGTACGGAAATCATACTAAATCCCTTGTGAAGTGCCGTGTTCCACTCCGAGGGGATAGGTGCTGGGTCTTGTATTGTTCTCACCAGGTGTCTTAAATAATACATCATCCCAATCCAACATGGTCGATACGTCAATCCCAGACCAGGCCAGCAGGAACCTCAATGTTCATGATCAGCAGACAACCACATACACACTGGAGATATCCCCGAGAGAAACCTGCACTTCACTTTGGATGACCCAAGCTCCGAGGAGCCGGCGCTGACACCGAGAAATTTAATCAATTGAGGCCCTCAATTCTTTCAAGACACAAAAAGGTCTCTAGCTCTAGCTCCAGCCTCCGCCTCAGACCAGGCAGACCAGACCTCAAGCCTACGAGCGAGTATGAGTGAGCCATGCTAAGAATAACCCCGACTCCCAACCGTCCCTAAGAAATACTCTACGTCAACGGCCAGTCAAACCCGTTATGCCAGGGGCAAGCCTCACTCAACTCTTTACTATTGTCTTCGTGGCATTTCAAAGCCCCCAACCCAACACAACCCACGCAGTTCAGTATACCCCGCTCACCCTTTCTTCCACGTGTTCAATTCAGGACATCATGTAGTTAGCACGAAGCACTTTTTCAACAAAAAAGTAGCGCCTCCAAACCTCGAACCCCCCGGTTTACAAACCGACAGGGTTCACAGGAGGAGTGACTGGGAAGTCTTCCCCCTGCCCCCCCCTGACATGTTACACAGCCGTTCCAGGACCAGGGGTTGGTGGTGGACGTACAGACAAGACAGCCTTCTAGAAGCTCTAAATCCCCGACCCCGACCCCAACTTACATGTTTACCTTGCATGCGCGCACATCCTGTCACGCACCACCTACGTACCTCACTCACTACCCTACTCCACCCTAGCTAGAGAAGTACTCTAGGTGTATGGACCAGCAGCCAATATGCTTGCTGCAGGAGCCGCAATTGAAAGACTTATCGCATTTATCGAACCTTGTTTTATGCGCCCCCCGCGATTGGCTCACCTTGCAGTTGCAGAACAGTGCAGTGCAGTGCAGGTCACAGTGCGGTCATTTTCCGGGCGTCTGGCGTACCCCACCGTCTGGTGGGAAACATCATCATCATAGGAGTAGATACTGGCACGCATCCAACGCTTTAACGGCCATCCAACCAAACCCGGAAATCACGGACAAGATTTAAAATTTCTTGATTTATTTGCTTCTTACCCCCCCACAGACAGGCCGCGTGAAATCGAGTGGCCCACACATTACATGTAGGCTCTCTCTCTCATACTCAGCTTCAGGTGTGTGTGGGTAGGTTACATATACACCGCATATCCTGCGGGATTGGGGCAGAAAAAAAGGAAAGAAAATATTGTACAAAAGAAATTATGCAGTAAATGCCAGTTATTGGGGGGGGGGGGGGGGGGGGTGTAGCTACACGCCCCCCCCTACGATACAGCCGGTTCCCCCTTCCCTCCCAGATAGAATAAAAATGAAAAGAAAAAACGAAAATAATCCCCAGTTTCGTAAACATAACCCAAAAACAAAAGGTTTAACGCCGGATGAGAACATGAGAGAGAGCTATTGAACACATGGAGTGGTGATAAAGGTGGTGATAAATGATGATGATAATGATGATGATGAGGATGAGGATGGTTGATGAAGCTTGTACTGCAGAGCTAACTACAGAAGAAGTCTTCAATATGTACCGACCACACCTGCTATGGCTGTGGTCATGGAGGAGGAGAGGAGTGTTGGTGAGATGATGATTTTGAGTGGTGTTGATGATTGTTGAGATTGATGGGAGAGGGTGAAATATTGTAGGTCCAGCTGCAATATGACATGATGGATAGAGATAAACTATGCACCAATAACGTTGATGATGGTAATAATGTTGACAGTGATGCTAATGTTGACAGTGATGGCAATGGTAAGAGTAATCGTGGTGAGGATCGTTATGAGAATCTTATTAAAGATCTTCATCGTGAGGGTGGGATTGGAGTTGTTGGTTGTTTAACCCTTCTTCCTATTTCGCCTGACAGCCCTTGAAACAGTCAGCGTTGTCGTAACACTTTCCTCAAGTCCCCCCTCCCAGATAACAGGTAACCTATTCAAACAAACAAAAGAAGAGAGGGAATTCAGGTAAACTTACGGCACAGGTCGATATCTATCACCACCACCTATTCTCTCAATCTCTACTTTCATCTCCACCATTCGGCCCTGGATCCTCGACCTGATATCCTCAATCCTCCTACACCCTGCTCTTAGCTCCTCTATCTCCTCTGCAGTCGGTCCCATAATCACAGATTTCTCTACTGGTATGTGGCGTGGCGCGGCTGGTGCCAGCTCAATCGCTGATGGTTTCGGGGCGGGAGGGGCCACAGGTTTCTGGTCAACAACAATCATGACGCCGCTGAAACCCAATACCTCAGGCTCCTCGATAGCTTTCCTAGTGGGCCCACGGCTGATTAGACCGCTCTCCCACCCGCGTTCAAGATCTTGACCGCCGGCGGCGCTCCGCATCTCCAACCACTGGCCGAGCCTTCGCACCGGGCGAAACTGCTGAAACCATCTTCCGGCCAAAAGGCCCCAAGCGCTGATGCCGACAACGATAAAGCCACCCATGATGATGAGTGACAAGAGCGGTATCATGAAAGTTGAAAGAACACTCCTGATGGATGACGTCTCTCCAAGCCGGTGCACGGAGAGTTTCTGGGCTACCAGAAAAAATAATACAAAGAATATAACTGCTTGGAGAGGACCAGTATTCCAAGTCGCCGCAGAGACTAGAGGTAAGGAAAAGGTCTTGTGAACTTGTATCTGGATTTGTTGTTTCTCCAGGTGTGGGAGACTCGGGCAAGATAAAGAAAGCAGGAGACTAATAAGGCTGTTGAGTAGAAATAGAACAAAGTACGAGAACGAAACCAGTAAGACTGTGTCACACAGCCAGACGATCGGATTCGTCAGGATATCGGCGGCGATATCGTTGGTCGAGGCGATAAATTGATGGTGCCATGATGCGCCAGGCTGAGGTAGTTCCTGATGTATCTAGTTGCGTCAGGACAATTGACCAACAGGACTCACGACGAAGCTGACAGGCAGAACGCTACCACTTCCCCCCTCCCCCTGTGGGCAGTAAAAATACGGGGGACGGGAATGGATAAGCAGAAACATAGCGATCCATAGGATGGGGCGCAGATTCATACGTGCAGAGAAGGTATCCACATGGAAGAGAACCACAGGCTACCAAGGGATCGATGCAGACGAATATAGGATCGCTGCCAACGACGCGCAGAGACGGGGCCAGCAATGATAGGTCAAGCAAACTTGCCTAGTAACAATGTGACCGGGGGTAAAGAGGGCTTGCCGCGCACCAAAAAAAGAAGACACAAAATAAAACAAAGCCCAAAGCAAGCTAGGGACGCTCCACCAAAAGGGAGAGAGGAAGAAAAAACAGAGAGAGGGAAAGAGAAAGAGGAGAACTTTGCTCTTACCATATTGTCACTTCTGCGGCCGTGGTCTATGGCCGTAAAGGCCCTCCAGATAAACAAGCCCCTCATCAAAAACGGCTGACTTAACAATCCTGAAAACCGTCCACTTGGCTCTCTGTCGGGAAACACTGAAGAAAACGCAAGTACCATAATCTCGAGCGAACCAGAATTCCCTCAGTGGAAGAACCCCAAATGCCTAAACTAAATTAACACGACGTTTGTAATGGGAAAACGAAATCCGGATGAAAGTAAGTCGGTAAACACCGGTAGACTGTTAAAGAGAGACTAACTATTGTATTGCAATTGTACAGACCTGCATGCTCCCAGAGTGCCCAGGGTCGCCGTCGCGTGTTAAGTAATTTCTGTAGTAAAACAAAAATCCGTCCTCTGCGACTTTCTGATTCATCGACATCAAACAACCACGACATACTGACACGTGTTTTGAATTTTTAGGTAGCTTAGTGAGACGTATATACGAGTTCGCTGGCCAGAGATATTTAAGACATAAGACAAAAAGGGCCATCGTTGACTAGGCGCCGGATCTCATCGACAAGATCACTCGTCGATAAGAGTCGATTTCCGCATTGGTAAATTGTTTGGCAGTGGAAAAAAACGAATCTAGCGATGAAGGTCCAAAGAATCGAACCTCACTTGACAGGCGTATCGGCTGTAGTACTACATGGAGTTATCATGCGGCTCAATTGCCACCCTAGAATGGTTCTTGAACCGCGAGTGAAGGGGATAACAGCATCTTGCGAGTTGAAAGCCGGAACGTCATTGCATTTTCCTCTTCTAAAGTAGTAATACTGTACCCTACTCGTACTCGTACATCAAGCACACGCAGAGTAATCCCGGTTCCTATGGACTCGACGAACACGTTGACGAAGCGCCTATTATTGGCAAAGATGAGGGGGTAGGGCAGTTGCAACTCCTGCGTGGTTCCTGTTCCTGCCTGCCTGCTTGTCCGAATTTGAGGACATCTACCAACTCAAAAACTTCCGGCTGGGTGCAATTGTCAAATAATTAGAGACAATTGGGGATCTGCATCTAAACATGAAACTGAAGATGATAACGCATACCTAAGCGAATGTTATTGTCGCGAGCTTGTTTGATTGTGGGGACTAAATTTGGGTTTGGGACAGTTTAGTTGGTTAATCCAAGCGTGAAAACGATCGTCATGGAGTTTTGGAATAACCCCACAAACAAGTAAAGTGCTGCCCGGGCCCCGGGGTTGATTAGTTCCGTGTCTTGACAAGCACATTTGTTGTAGCTACTATTCATTACACACAATCGAGCCCCATGGGCTTAGAGTACGTACTCTAAAGTTATTTTAATCGGATTTCTAACAATTGCAATACGGTCCATCCGTAAGGCCAATTGTCACTGGCACCCGTCACATGAGATATAAAATCTGGTCAATGCTAATTGTCCTCAGTGCGGAAGCTCCCAGAAGTCAATCGATATTTTGGATAATATAACTCCTATCACAGGCACTGTAGAGAGCCTCGACCAGCGACGTAAGGGCGGGAAAGCCCCCGTGTGAAGTTCAAGGGTTCTCGGCGAAGGCTTTCGCAATGACGGGTATTATTGGAGAGTTTGTCGGTAAGACTCAGCACATTGCCGGCATGATTGCATTCTTTTTCCTTTTTTCCCTTTGGAGTGGGGTTGAATCCATCAGAATGAGCCTTCCTTAAGTCATAGGTTAAGAAAACCGACATCTCTCATGTAGCATGTAGGAGCTCTTTATTTTTTGTTTTTTTCTGTCCTCCGTGCCTTTACTTTTTTGAAGTCATCCAGTAAGGTACCTCACGCAGTCCGGGTACTGGGGGCTGCACAGTACCCATCTAAGAGCTGATCTTCCATCTCAACTCGAGCTCCTCGGGCTTGACGATCCAATAAGTAGCCATGTCTTCCCCGGCTAAATACTCATTTGAGTAAAGTACCTACAAATTGAAAGCTAGTCATGCTCCAATATCAGTGCACCTACCCTCTCCTCTAGGTACTCTGCCTATGATGGAATCTGCGAAGAGGTAGGTGCTCTTCTCTAGAGCAGAGCACTCTAGCGCACTCTAGAGTAGCATATGCAGCTAAATACCCACGAGTAATGATTTGGCAAATGAAGCTCGGAGACGGAAGCCCCCATATTGACGCTCCAATAACAATGATATCTAGCTTCTTAGTCGGCCATGTGAATGCTTCTCCACAAAAGCTTCATGCTTTTTTTCGAGGCCTTACATATGGTATTTGGGCAGAACCCCACGCACATGGTCCAACTACATACATACCTATATGTAAAATGTAGATATGTACTCGTAAGTTCATAGCGTTTCCGAACACGACCAATATTGCATGACATACAAAAAGGTGGATTTAGCGCTTTTTTATATGGTATGCAATAGCAGTCGTGTTCGGAAACGTCATGAATTTACGAGTAGGCACTACGAGCAGAGTGCCCTTAACCCCGTGCGTCCGTCCCAACACAAGTCCAAAATAGATCACGTGGTAGGTGCGCGGGAACCCCATGTGAAGCATTCAGCCCAGAACAGAGAGAAGTGACCGATCGGACGTTCCATAAGATAAATTAGCGGAGATTCCGATCAGAATCGGCTCGATGTTTGAAACGATCCGCTGGGTGTGATTGGGCATGTTATTTTCCGCGCGATCCTTGGCGAGAGACTCGATCCGATTGAAAGTGATTTTTCCCGGATAACTCGACATGTTTGGTACCTGTTGTAGATATCAGAACTAAAGAAAATGCTTCCACTTTTTCGAGTTACTGGGCATTACGCATAACACCGATGGAATGGAATATGTTGCAAGTTCCAATTCCGCTGGATAATTGATACTTCACCACGTAAAACACGGCGAACGGAGGAAAAGATCAGGAAGCTTTCGGCGAGGCCCGCTATTTGATGATAGGAATAGTAAACTTGAGATATTCTTGTATGTAGTTGTCTCCGGAAACATTCAGAAATTTCAGAACTGTCCGACCTGGATCGGCCAGTTGCCTTGAGAATCGTTTTTCTTCCGACTGTGTTTTGAGTGGTGGATTTAAGCCCTCGTTTGCAGTAAGTATGTATGTAGAAGATTGATTTTTCGAACAAGCAAGGTAGTCATATTTTCGTTTTTCGTTTTTGTTTTTCCCATAAAAGTGCTCACATCCTATTGAGAACCAGGTCGTGTGCCGGTTAGGTAAGGCTGTAGACTTCGAAGAATTCCAGTCATGCAGTCGGTCAAAAACTGTCTCCCCTCCACACAAACAGACATAAGCAGAGGATGACAAGGAATCAAATGCCAGGCAGGTTAGGGTCGCTCAAGACATTACCAGGACACTGGATCGGAAAAAACACTGTATCGCGAATGACATCGAGATCTCGTCCCAACATGCAGAACCACCAACCCCGCAACCTAACCCCCGCACTTGGCTCAGTCGAAAAATTCGGATGATTCGCGACTCCCGTTGTCAGAATATTTGAAATCCGACGGTGGGGCAACAAGAAAAGCAACACATTTGCCTAGTGTAAAATTTTAGCGCTATCCGAGTGATACATTGTGATCAGCCGAGGTTTTGCAAAACCACGCGGGTCTGGTACCCTACCCGCATAACGATTCTAGCCAGAGAGCGGCCGCATGGATTGCAATCTGTGCAGCAGACATCTGGGTAAGATTAACGAGATGGGTAAATGTAACCAACCCGCCTGTCATTGCTCAAGTGCGTGAGCCCTACACTGCGTGGGTTGCGTCAAGTCGATGCGGAGGATACGCATCCTATATTTGATTCTCCGTTGGTAGAGTAGTGCAGAGCTCGCTCGTATTCGGGGAAGTAAAAAGTGACAGGTTCAAAGCACATACTCTGCTTGGAGCTCCTACTCTACTCTTCTCTCGACAAATCAGCATAAAGGTAACTAGAAGTGCGTAGGATATAAATCTCCTATGAGAATACTCGCCTTGTAGGAATATGGTCTCGGAGAAGTTGGTTCTAGAGTCTGCTCCGTGTTTCTCGTAGAAGACTAATGCGTGAATTGATGATTGTGTTATCTCTATGTATAATGACGTATGGACATGAGTGCGCATGTATGTATCTGTTAGCGTGACTTTTGTGAAGAAAGTGAAGAAAGGACCCTTCTCGGAGAA